TTTTCGTGTTATTTACTTAGTTCCACTAGCTCGTGTGTCACGGCCTTGAATTTTTACTCCCAGCAGCGTGCGTAAAGCAGTTTCACTTCAAAAAAGTCTGAAGGTGACTTAAAAAATTATTAAACATACATATATGTTAAACTCAGATTGTGTTTTTGGCCCGAATTATTTGGACATATCGCCATTCGCCGCATATCCATAGCAATAATGACAGATGCCGAAATAGCGGTAAATTTCCTCATTTGACGAACTCAATTTGGACATATTCCGAATTGATAAATCGCGTTTTGGTCATATTCCGAATAATTATTATTTTTATTACTTTATTGACTAAGAAAAACAAGAACCACGAAAAAAAAAATGTTGAAACCAATGCTGTCAAAACGCATTCGTGCAAGTAATTGTTTCGTTGCTTTCAACTTCTTCCTTTCATTTTCAGCACGTGTAATGAAATTTTGCCGCTATTTTTTTTTAATTGTACGAATGAGTTTTTAATGCTTTGGTTTTAACCGTTTTTTTGTGTTTTTAATACGACTTTGCCTTGACGTATGTTATGTGTGTAATACCGGTATATGCTCATTAAGTATTTAGACATTTCAGAATGTGTCCAAATTGAGTTAGCTAGATGCCGAATTGTACCACTATTTTGTCATCTGTCATTTATCCTATGTGCATATGGCGATAATTCTAAATAATTGACCCATGGCCATTTGTCTTCAATTTCAGTCCTTTTTTAGTTTTTTTATCCTAGGGAATCCATTTTAAAACACCCTGTAGAAGCGTCTTAAAATACATTTTATTATATTATTTTTTATTGCGCGAAATTATTAGCCCGCCTCACTTGTTGAGTGATTACAAAGTCATTTACAGTTTAAATTCTGATTGTACCAGCATATCTTTAAATTACTGGCTGTGCAGAGTTTACGCGAACAAAGCCAATGTGTTGAACGCCAGCAGGATTTAGTTCACCATTGCACCTGCTCTTGACAGTCGACCGAGCCCGCGATTCCAAATCGACTCGTTCTCATGCCAACTTTGTCGGTCCTGCCTAATAAAAGTGTCATTTCATTAAATAGGCAACCATAACCAGGTCCTCGACCTTTAGAATTCGCGTATTCGATAATCCGGATTTTAGCGAGCGCAGGAAGATGCGTTTTTCTGATTAGGGTTTATTGTGTATCCCCTTATCCACAACGAACGTGTCATCTAGTTATCTTATCGGAATTGGGTCAAACTAATAAATATTGTATACCTTTCTAACTCGTCCTCGCAAAAGTATCACGCGAACTAGAGGGAAGACAGTTTCTGTGTAGAAAATTGTATAGCTAAATTAAATAGATCACTCAAAAAAATTATATTAATTTTAATTGAATATATTGTTTATTTGAAGCAACTTTTCCAAAATTATACTCAATTTAAATACACAGGGTGCTCCGAATTGTATTCGGGAAACTTCGGCAACATATTCTGTAGATGAAAATAAGTAAAAAAGTTCGTATAAATGTATGTCCTAAAATGCTTCGTTTCGCAGATACAGGGGGTAAAAGTTTCATTTTTATAGGGATTTTTTCAAATAATTTCTGAACTAACTTCGATATTTGGATGAAAATTGGTGTTTGGGATTTTTTTAACATAGGAAATTTGATTTCGATATTAATATGACTCCTGCTTGTAGGGGGCGCCACCTACATGATTTTAAATATTTTGAAGGCTAATAAAATAACTTTTCATTCGTACCTGTGAACTACTGAGTGAAAAATTTTACTTTCCGTAAATTTTTTTTTCCGTAATTTTTTTAGGTAAAAAAGGTCTCTTGGTAATTGTCTCTTCTTGTCTCTTCTTGTCTCTTCTTAAGACATTTAGAATGGAAATAGCCAATACATGTCATTATTGACCAAAGATAAACATACTAAGTAAATAGTTATTTGATTGAAATTACAAATTTCATTTAGGAACTTCACTTTTTTTAATTAATCATAAATTTTTCATCGAAGAAATTATCTAATAACTATCTAAATATGTTCAGTTTATGTCAATGATGACATGTATTGATTATTTCGATTCCAAATATCTCGCAAACTATTGCTCGTAGCGATTTTTACCAGGAGCCCTTTTTTACGTCAAAAACGGCGAAAATGTATTTTTGTATTGTAATTTTTTACTCAATCATTCTATACAGGTTCAGATGAAAAGTTATTAATCTTCAAACCAGTTAAAAACTATGTGGGTGGCGCTCTCTACAAGTAGGTATTGACATGAAAATCAAATTTCTCATGTCAAAAAGTTCGCAGAAACTAATTTTCATTCAAATATAGATGTTAGTTCAGAAATTATTTGGAAAAAATCGAAATAAAAATGAAACTTCTACACCCTGTATTTCCGAAATGAAGTTTTTTAGGACATACATTTATATAGGGAAATTAAAATAACTTTGGTTGCACATCATAATACGACCACCAGCAAACTCCATAAGAGTGTCATTGATAACGTGCATTGACTCCATGGTGTCATTGATGACGTGCATCCAAACTTGTTTTAATTTCCCTTTACGAACTTTTTTATACCACCCTGTATATTATGGTTTATCTCAAGCAACTTCTCCAAAACTTGCAGAGTTGCAAACTGGATTTCAATTCAAATTAATTGACAAAAGTTTTTTTTTTCTTAACACTTCTCACAATTTTTCTTATACTACTTCTTTCGAATTATTATCATTCTCTATTAATTATTACTTTTTCGTTTTTTTTTTCTTATTCATTTTTTCCTCATTGATGGTAAACATTAGTAGTTATTTTTGTTTTTTCACGCAATCGCAATATAAAGAAACTTTTGGACCCATGATATTCTTAGTATATGGATATTTATTGTTTTGGATTACAGATATACATTTATGAATTTTATTGGTTTTAATACTTCCAAATAGAATTTACTAAAAAGCTATGAGATGCGGTTTAAAATAAATGTATTTTAATTTTAGGGTATTCTATATGTGCCTAAATAAAGCAGCAATTACAGTACTACATAACAGTCGTATTTATTGCTTAGGTATGCTTTGTTTAACCCATTACACGCATTCACCTATCACAAGATATTTTATCAATAAAAAAGGTATTGAATCTGACGGACTCCAAATATATTTTAATAGATTCCAATTTTGCATACTTTGGTCTCTATGCGTATAATATGCAACGTATTGATGCATTATTCACATTATTCATCATCAGTACTATCCATTGTCCTTTCATCATTCTTTGGTTGCAATATTGTAAACCCACTCTGTCTCAACACCTACAACTTTAACACTTGATTTACCGATGATTTAGTGGGAGACTATTAATCTTATTGGAAACAATTATTATTAAACTCACCTATACGGTTGTATCCTGCATTAACAGAGTGCATAATCATCTACAACGATACTTGCATTTTCTATAATAGCTCGTTAAGTTATTCCTAGTGCATACTCCAAAAACAGATATAATACATACATCAAGAAACTCGAAAATAATATACTCCTAGACTTTTTGTCTGGATAAACTTACAATCCGGCAACTGTGGTGTTGAGTTGTCAACATATACCATACTGGTCACTTTATTTACATGGTCTGCATTTTAAAGCATAGGACAGATACCGTATGATCGATGATCGAAAAAAAACCGGCGTCCAGTTGGTTTGGAAATAACGATTATTGGCATTTATGCATCCACGTACTTATAATATGATCTAGGGTTTTGTATAACAATTCCTAGTTTTCCAATTTTTTTTGTTGATTCGTTCTTTACTAGCTACACTACGTATAGAGAAATGTTTTAGAACTAAATATTTTTAGCAAAACTGAAAAAAAGGTGTATTCTTTTTTCTTATGTTAAATACCAATAAAATTCCTAGATCTTAAGATAAAAATGCAGCATATTGTTCGTTAACAGCGTGCAAATATAAATAAGGAATTTCTTACTTTCTTATTTAGATATTAAAAAATGATAAAGAGAGGTATATCAAATATTGTCCTCAACAGCGATGTCATCACATGGTTATATCTTTGCGACGAAATTGGAAAATAGATATCGATATCCCGATTTCCAGTAGGCATTTGCGGATTTTGCGGTCGAATACCTCGTTTTCCCCCTGCTAGCGTAAGCGCGCTTAATTCTGTCATTCCTTTCCACTGTCCTCGTCATACAGTACATTAAGCACATATAGAAGACGTGTTTGTCATATAATCGTGTTTAGAGGTAGCTGGAAATACTGGGAATATGCATTAGTCGCGATCCCTTAATCGCATTTAGTGTATATCATAGATAAAAGACTTATAATGTGTATATGTATCCAGGGTAAATGCATTAGAAATGCAATTTGAGTAATGAATTCCTAGTATTATACATTTTTATCTAGATCATAGATTTATAATAACTGAAAAATTTGTTTCCAGATAAAATTACAATATTTTTTATAAATTAAATCTAACTATTGAAATGGGCGTTTTTACTTAAAAGTGTTTACTTAAAAGTTGTTCCTAGAAAAAATGTGTTAAGGATGTATGGAACCCCAGTTTGGGGGGGTTAGTTTTGCTTAAATAAATATTGAACTTGAGTATCGAATTATCAGCCAAATAGATGACTCTTCTACTTCTACAGTTTTAATTTTTAATCTTACAGTTTTAACCAATGCTTATGAAACTAAGATAGTTAGCGGAACTTTCGTCCAGAGTTGTATCATATCGAGTTTTGGTGGATCGCTATAGTTCTGTATTTTTATTATTTTAATATCATAGGGACCAAACTAAACAATTTTAACGAAATTGCATTTTTTTAAACAACTGACATGGATGATGGCAAAAAATATCTTTGTATACCTTACCATTTGGTACTACAGTTGCAAAGACGTAAAATAGTGAGGAAGAAAGATATGAAGATTATAATGAAACAATATTAAATAGATATATATTTTGTATTAGGTCTGTTGATTAAGAGACGTAGCTAATTTAGAATCTTTCTTCTAGGGACTGGATCCAACAGCTCACATGAGACCACTGACCTCGGAAATCACGGCTCCTAGAATCGACAGCTATCGGTTTTCCATGGCGAACTTGGAGGATTCCCAGGATGTGGACTTGGACGCCATTTTAGGCGAATTGTGCGCCCTAGAATCCGTCTGCGATCAAGAAATAGGCCAAGCCCGTGAAAACAAGAGATTTTCTGGTAAGTTTAAACTTCGGCGTTTTCATACTACAAATCTATTTTTGGTAGACCGGTTTAAACGACACAAGGATCTTGAACCCAAAGCCAGAAATAATTTTTGTGATTATTTGGATGCGTCGCGAAATTTATTTTTAGATTTGGGTTGTGTCTGGTTAAGTTTAAGAATGTCGCTGAAAATGCTCTTATAGAGATAGAGAGAACTTACACTCAGAGCTGCAACAAGTCAGTTTTAAAAAGACTTAAGTATTAAGTCTTAAATCATTTCTAAAATCAAAATGATTTAACAAAAATAATTAACTAATAACTAACTCTCAACTGTAATAAAAAATTAGCGCCAAGAGGCACGTATAGCCGCCCATCGAGGGGTGTTTCACTATTGGAATTACATGTACATTTTCTTGGCAGTCGCTGGCAGTCATTGGCAGTCTTGCGGCAGTCGCCTATAATAATTACATGGCAGTCATAGGCAGTCTTCTTCGCAGTCACTGGCAGTCGCTTAGCAGTACAACGTTATTTTGGCAGTACATGTACATTTTTTACCCAAGTGAGACACTCCTTGCCGCCCATACTAAAATATGTTAATAAAAAGTTGGTAGGCAGTTCTTTTAGTTTCAATTATCTCAAAGACTGCGACTTTGACTGATTTTGATGTAATTACACATTTTGTTGCAAATATTATTCCTAATCTTAAATTGAAAACCGCGTTTCGCTAGCTACTGTAATTTTGGAGTTACGATTTTTTTTAATTTTTAACCCCCTCCCATTCCCCTTACCAACCCCCCATCCCCACCAAAAACTAATGGCCAGATGCTCGGGAGCCACAGTATTTTTGTGCCAAATTTGGTTAAAATCGGTTTAGCGGTTTTTGAGTTATCGTGTTACAGACAGACAGACAGACACCATGAAAATATTTTGTTTTAGGTCATTTATAGTAGGAGATATTAGCCGATTGGGCTCCTCCACATGCGCAGTTCGCTTGACCTTGACATATGTGGCTTTCAAACCTCCTTGAGTGATTCCAGAAAGAACCTTGTTGTGAGACCTTAAACGACCTTTAAGGTTGACTTTCAGATGTATTTGAAATGCGTTTGTGTACCCTTCACAATCGGCTAAAAATATAATTTGTTGATAATATGTTACCATAGGTAGTAGATTAAATTTACAAGAAAAAATATCCAGAAAAGATCCAGTAGTGGTCAAAATTTTAGCAAACAATATTTTTTTTTAAATTTTCAAAGTAAAATATCTCGGTTATTAGCCGACTATACCAACAGGTATGGTAGGCTATTAAGATCGGCAATTTTTTTTTTTTAATTTCACCCAAAATGAGTTATTTGGGTCATAAATGACCTAAATCAAAGACCTAAATACAAAATATTTTCATAGTTCTGTCTGTCCGTCTATAACACGATAACTCAAAAACCGCTAAACCGATTTTAATCAAATTTGGCACCCGAGAATCTGGCCATTAATTTTTGGTGGGGGTGGGGAGTTGGTAAGGGGGTATAGGAGGGGGTTAAAAATTTTAAAAAATCGTAACTCCAAAATTACAGTAGCTAGCGAAACGCGGTTTTCAATTTAAGATTAGGAATAATATTTGCAACAAAATTTGTATTAACATCAAAATCAGTCAAAGTCGCAGTTTTTGAGATATTCCGTGTTTCCGTCGTCCGTTTTTGAGAAAATCCGTGTGGAGAACTCCAAACTCCCATCAGACGCGACCCCAGGTGTTTCACTCCCTATCCCAGGGATAGGGGAAATAACCGCTGACCAAAATTGGAAAAATTCCTTTACTTTGAAACTAAAAGAACTGCCTACCAACTTTTTATTAACATATTTTAGTATGGGCGGCTATACGTGCTCCTAAGCGATTTTCTTACTAGTAGGTATAATAATATTAATTTGTTGTTAGTACAGATAAGACTAAAACCACAAAATAAAACGGTTAATTTTCAGAACAACTACGCTATCATGTTTTTTTATAAAATTTAACCATTTTGTAGTACTTACCAATACAGTTTAGATTTCATCGAATACATTGTCTATTAAAAAGGGATGATGTGTTTTGATCACTATGTACTATTAGTACATAGTAATTGTACTATATCGATGGCATAAGCTAAAGGCTGCAGGATTTTAAAGTACTCTTCAATATATTCGAGATAAATTCCTTTTGTTCGTCTTTCTGGCTACATAACAGACACACTACGCACGCGTAATACGACAAATAATCAAAACCGGTTCCGAAAAACTAACGTTTTATTTGCTAGTGGTATTGAGCATTGTTTTTTGTATTCTGCTGCTTGACTGCCGCCTATCAGTTTAAAAAGGAATGCTGCCGTTAAAAATTTATAATAAAAATATATAAAAATCTGACTTAAGCCTTTTATAAAAAGACATAAATCTTTTCATCAATCAAATGACTTAAGTCATTAAGACAAATCTTTTCATCAATCAAATGACTTAAGTCATTAAAATGATTTAAATCAAAAAAAGACTTAAGTTTCTGTGAGCTTGCAGCTTTGCTTACATTAAATATTTTTTTAGATATCCAAAAATTAGCACTGCACGAATCCAGGACTCACAGTCGATCATCTTCAGAAGCTTCCAGGGGATTGACAGAAGATAGTATTTTGTGTGGCAAGAATGAATCTGGTAGAACCGAGTCTCCAGATAATGATTCGGCCTTTAGCGATACCGTTTCTATGCTATCTAGCGAATCTTCTGCTAGCAGTGGAGGTAGCGGTGCTAAACCCCAATCCCTAAACTTACAAAACATTCATCATGTAAATATATTTAATATAATTTAACGATACATAGATATACTTATCATTTTGTGTTGCAGGATGATGCTTCGCGAATTAAAGCGGAAAAAATTCGTATGGCGATGGAGAAAATTATGGAAGCCAATATTCAAAAATTATTTCTAAAGGTATTCACTGTGGATGGTTCCGCCAAGTCATTACTTGTAGATGAAAAAATGTTATGTTCCTACGTAACACGGTTGTTAGCAGACAAAAATCACGTGAAAATGGATCCTAAATGGGCAATAGTGGAACATTTACCTGATCTTTATATGGGTTCGTTTTGTTTCATCATCGAGTTTAAAGATAATGTTTAATTTTGTTGTGTTTTATTGTAGAACGGTTTTATGAAGACCACGAACTTCTCGTTGACAACTTACTAGTTTGGACGCGAGAGTCTAAAAACAAGATATATTTTGTAGAACGCCCCGATAAAATAAAATTGTTTTTACAACCTGAGCGATTTTTACTCTCAAACGAAGACAAGAAAGAAAGCTTAGACTATGACGAACATGCTAGGAACATGTTACTGGAAGAGTTTTTTGCATCAACTAATGGAAGTATACCCGAAGTTGAAGGTCCTCTATATCTTAAAGCTGATTCAAAAAAAGGCTGGAAGAAATATCACTTTGTCCTTAGAGCTTCAGGTTTATATTACTTCCCCAAGGAGAAAATTAAAAGCGCTAAAGATCTTGTATGTTTGACTACCTTCGAAAATAATCATGTAAGAACATTTTATTTCTATACTCACCGGTACGATAAACGGGCACCTTAAAATTTTGATATATTTTAAAGTTTTATACAGGGTGGTCCGAATTGTATTCCGGAAACTTCGGCAGCATATTCTGCAGATAAAAATAAGTAAAAAGTTTGTGTAAATTTATGTCCTAAAATGCTTAGGTCGGACATACAGGGTGTAGAAGTTTCATTTTTATTTCGATTTTTTTTCAAATAATTTCTGAAGTAAGGTCAATATTTGGATGAAAATTGGTGTCTGGAAGTTTTTTGGGATGAGAAATTTGATTTTGATGTCAATATGACTCCTATTTGTAGGGGGCGCCACCTACATATGTTTTAACTGGTTTGAAGAGTTATAACTCTTCATCCGTACCTGTATAAAACTACTGAATGAAAAAATGTGCATTTCCATGATTTTTTACGTAAAAAATATCTCTAGGTAAAAATCGCTATGAGCAACCGTTTTCAAGATATTTAGAATGGAAATAGTCAATACATGTCATTATTGACAAAAAAATGAACACACTGAGTAGATAGTTATTTGACTGAAATAATAAATTAGGAAATTTTTATTTTTTTAAATTAATAATAAATTTTTCTGCGAAAAAATGATGATAAAACAGTTTCTGTTGAACTTTTGACACAAAAACATTCCAAATTTATGATTTCAGTTTGATAACTATTTAGTCAACATGTTTAATTTATGTCAATGATGACAGGTATTAATAATTTTGATTCCAAATATCTCGAGAACCATTACTCGTAGCGATTTTTACCAAGAGACCTTTTTTACATAAAAAATATCGCAAATGTATATTTTTTACTCAGTAATTTTATACTTGTACGGACGAAAAGTTGTTAGTCTTCAAACCAATTAAAAAATATGTAGGTGGCGCCCTCTACAAGCAGGAGTCATATTGACATCAAAATCAAATTTATCGTGTCAAAAAACTCCCAGACACCAATTTTCATCCAAATATTGACGTTACTTGAGAAATTATTTGGTAAAAATCGAAATAAAAATTAAACTTCTACACCCTGTATCTCCGAAACTAAGGATTTAAGGACATACATTTATACGAAGTTTTTTACTTATTTTTATCTGCAGAATATGCTGCCGAAGTTTCCGGAATACAGTTCGGATCACACTGTATATTGTGTTCTAGTGGACCGATTTTGATGATTTTTTAAGCAATTTATAGCTAAATTATTTGACTTTATAGTATGATTTTCTAAATTAAAAATGAAAGTTTCCAACCATCAATTATACCAGGGAAAACAGAATGTTGATATTTTGGTGAACGTTTGGAACACTCTGTGGAGAAAGTTAACAAAGCAATGAATGTAAAAATTATTTTATCATCTAGGTGTATTTTTCCCAATAGTTTGTTTTTTGATCTCAATAGCTGTATTTCTTTTGGAGATATTCGCGCTCGAAGATGACACTTTTATTGTATTTTTTACATTAAAACCATGCCTTTGCTTTTGGTCCTAGTCAACAAACCTATAAAATAGTGTTTATGATTTATGTAGTGTCACTGTCTTTGAAATATCATATTATTATTGTTTGTTGTGCAGTTACTCTAGCAGATATGGTTTTAAGTCCAAAAGTCTGCCGTGATCAATTACAGCAGCTATAGCCGATACTTCAGTACTTAAAACTATCTGTACTACAATAAACGTCAATAAACAATAATAATATGACTTTATAATGACAGTGACATTAGAAAAACAGTAAACACTATTTTATACAATGACTAAAGAATATAAGGTCATGTAACGCCCCTATACGGGCTGCAGCAGAATTTGTGACCTTAGACGCCTTTTCTTTTGGTGGCAAACAATGAGTCATCAGCTGGTCACCAACAACAATTTTCGCAATTTTTAATAGTTTGTGTGTAGTGAACTTTGTATAAACTTTATTACAATGCTGATTAGTTGTTCAGCTTTCAAATGTAAAAGCAGCAGTGACAAGAAAGAGCCAGGAGTTACGTTTCGTAGGTAAATAAATAGTCCGCTGTACCTTTTTAGCGTTTTCTTAAGTTTTCTTATTGAATTCGATAATTATTTTTCTGATATTATATGTACTTGATGTGTGCTATACGTCTATACTAGTTTTGTACCTTTTGTTAACATTTTAATACGTTTTTTTTCGTAATTAATTAGTATGATGGCACCACCGACACCATAGGCGTAGTCAAAACATTTATCAAAACTATAAATAACCCTTCAACTAGCTAAGTTAAGAAAAAAATATGGCCACGGCACTGTTTGGTGTCATGGTAACAATTTGCTCTCGGGTGTTATTTGTCCTTGAATTCTTTAGTCATTGATTTTATAAGTGTGTTGATGAGGACCCAAAATCAATGCAAAATTGCTGTACTAAAGTGAACATTTCCAATAAAAATAAAGATATTGAGATGAATCAAAAAACAAACTACCAAGAAAAGATGTACCTAGATGATAAAATGATTTTTAAATTCCTTGCATTGTTAAATTACTCCGCAGGGTGTTTCAAACTTTAACCAAAATATCAACATTTTGTTTTCCCTCGTATAATTGACAGAAGAAAACTTCATTTTTTAATAAATGAATAATAATTTTTAATTTAGAAAGAGAAACTAAAAAGTCAAACAATTTTGCTACAAATTGCTTAAAAAATGATCAAAATCGGCCAACTAGAACAAAATATATTAAACTTTAAAATACCTCAAAATTTTAAGGTGCCCATTTTTCGTGCCGGCGAGTGTATATCCGTATAGGTTGTTGTAGGTAATATTTAATTGTTTTATATTTCAGATATACTACGGACTGGGCTGGAAGAAGAAATACAAAGCTCCTACAGATTATTGTTTTGCTGTAAAGCATCCGCGGCTTCAAGAAACAAAAAGCACTAAATATATTAAATATTTGTGTGCCGAAGATGAGGATACGTTAGAGAAATGGATAGTAGGGATGAGAATTGCTCGATTCGGTAAGCAATTAATGTTTAATTACCGAACGCTAATGGATGAACTAGCACAAGAAGAAATGGATATTCTTGCTAGTGCTAGAAGCTGTTCTGTCAGCTCCATTGCGGTGCACAGCATCCAGTCAAATAGCACTACACCTACACAAGGGTGAGTCCTTACATCTATTTATGGAGTGAAAATCTAAATTATTGTGAAAACTATTTTTTTAGATACTCCGGTAGCGAAGCAGGATACGGAACCGCCTCAGGTAGTGAAATTTACTCTGCAACTAGTGATGCAAGCTCTAGCTCAGGACGTCATAGCAGGGCAAGCAGTTCTAGTTCTAGTGGTTGCATGTCCGATGGAGCGGCATCTAGTTGTGAAAACGCATTTGATTCTGAATTTCCTATGGGCACTATCAAACGTAAACCATCAATGAAACCCAACTTACCGTTAACGAATAAAACTAGACAGTTGAAGGAAGTTGGAGAAACAAGAGATGAAATAGACGGTACACTTCCTTCTAGTCCTGTGTCGTATACCAACACTGGTACGCTTACTAGAAGGCATAGTAGGTATGTAACATCTTATATATTTGTTGACATAATATTATTGTTGACATAATACTGTTAGTCGGAAAGAATTTAAACACGAGAAACAATTTAAATGTGTTACATTAGCTTAACTATTTAATTTACCGTATTATCAATAAAAACTTGTATGGATCTTTCATGTGGCAATCCATGATACTATGCTTTTGGACTGGCTTCTACCTACATATATGCCATGTATTAAAAACTGACTTCGCTAAAAGTAAACACTTTTCAGGCAAGAATCTATTTGTATTTCTAATATTTAATTGATAGACGTGTGCGTATTTTTTAACTTTTTATGTTTTCAAAATTTTATACAGGGTCGCTGATATGTATGGGAACGGTCGATCATTAGGGAAAATATACGAGGTACCGCAAAAAAATTAAATATATAAGTTATAGGGTTTTTAAATATCTATTAGCGAATAATAAATTCAAGTATACAGGATCGCTCATAAAATCGTGGCATGTCAAAGTTTCATTTTTTAAATGGAACTCCCTGTATATTATTGCATCTTCCTGTTCTTTCTTCAATTCTAAGCAAAAATTGGGATACACACAATCTACCTCAAACCAACCATTCCCGAGTTATTGACTTTTGAAAATATCACTTAAACAATTTGATTTAATTAATTTCGATGTGTTCGGCTTCATTTAACGATGCCATTCCGCGGAAACTGTGATAATTAATAATATTTGACATTAGTTTTCAAGTTAGCATTTATAGATGTATAAAATGAGATTCTATCAAGTCTGAAAGTTACACAATTTTCGTTTAACATTTCAGAATCAACACTTCATAATTCGGAAATGGTTGAATTTAGGTACATTATGTGTATTACGATTATTCCTGAAAATTGAAGGGAGAATTGAAATATGCACTAATATACAGGGGGTTGCATTTAAAAAAAATTGTACCACAACTTTGTGACCCATCCTCTATACTTAAATTTACTACTAGCTAATAGAAATTTAAAAACCGTATAACTTTTGTATTTAACTTTTTGCGGTACCTTGTATATTTTACCTAATAATCGTTCGTTCCCATACAGGGTGGCGCACCTCATTCGCCTCGGTTGATTATACGAAAACAGATAAATGTAGAAGCAAAATTTTTTATTAGTATATGTAGAGAGGCAATTCGCATAATTTAAAAATATTTTCAAATGTACAGGGTGTGTCAGAACTAAGATCCATACCAAAGTTATATTTTTTCTTATGGAACACACACACCCGGTATTTTATTTTATTTTTGGATTCTTGGACATAAAATAAGACGTTTATTATATAGGTCTCGTCTCCATAAATAAGTACAATGTAGTTCCCTTTTCTCCGTGCGGCGACCACACATTTTAAAGCCTAAACAAACAAATTTCAACATGCCCCTCGCTTCCCTGCTCCCTTACCTCATTATATGCCCTTGCATCATTTCTTATTTAGTCTTTTTTTGTGTGCGGTACGACCCACATCGAATGTCGCATAAAAGATATCGATCGACTCTCGCTCCGTAGAGCGGAGTGTTTTTTGATTATCTTAAACGGATGGATAAGCGATTAAAGTTATTAGAAAATAAAAACATGCATAAAAGAAAAAGATTAGTGACAAGTTTGGAAGAGGAAAGTGTAACAAGTTTTGAGAGGCAGGCGAATAGTAGTGATTATTCGCAAGATTCTGAGGACGAGATTAGAAGCAGTGTTTGAGATGTTAGAAATAAAGGTAAATAAACATATAACATATACATATACAATACCTGAATAGTAGGGGGAAATTTCTTCTAAGCTTGGGTTTCTTCTAAGGTATTGTGGGTGAATACCTTAGTGAATGCTTATATTATCTAGATTTTTCCACTTATCCTTATATTACACTAATATGGCAGAGTACGTTGGTGGTTACTCTAGCTTGGTTTATAGGACATTAAATTTATTCACGTTAATTGTAGCGGAGTACAGTGGTGGTTACTCTAGCTTGTGTGTAGGTATTATTGGTGAATACCTCAGTGAATGCTTATATTACCTAGTTTTTCCCCACTTATTACATTAATACAGCAGAGTACGTTGGTGGTTACTCTAGCTTGGCATATATGTATTATTGATGAATACTTATCGCATGGCTGTCTTATTATACTAATATGGCAGATTACGTTGGTGGTTACTCTAGCTTGGTTTATAGGACATTAAATTTATTCACGTTAATTGTAGCGGAGTACAGTGGTGGTTACTCTAGCTTGGTGGGTAGGTATTGTTGGTGAATACCTCAGTGAATGCTTATATTATCTAGTTTTTCCCACTTTTTACAGTAATACAGCAGAGTACGTTGGTGGTTACTCTAGCTTGGTATATATGTATTATTGGTGAATATTTATCGCATGGCTGTCTTACTACAATAATATGGCAGAGTACGTTGGTGGTTACTCTAGCTTGGTTTATAGGACATTAAATTTATTCAAGTTAATTGTAGCGGAGTACAGTGGTGGTTACTCTAGCTTGGTGTGTAGGTATTGTTGGCGAATACCTCAGTGAATGCTTATATTACCTAGTTTTTCCCACTTATTACATTAATACAGCAGAGTACGTTGGTGGTTACTCTAGCTTGGTATATATGTATTATTGGTGAATACTTATCGCATGGCTGTCTTGCTTTTATTTTCAAAGTTGGTAGTCCCATAAGGGCACGTTGGTGGTTGTCCTTATGGAGTGACGTTTTGCTAAGCTAGCTGTATAAGATTTATAAACTCCTTAAGCATGAGTTAGCCCCAATATGTGTTTACATATCATGATATTTTCTTATAGGTGAAAGCGCTAGTACACTTATTGAAAAAGGTATTGGAAAGAGCCTACCTAAACCTTTCTAGGAAGGTTTATTAGCGGTTTTAGGAGATAAGGTAGACGGGAAAAATACCACGACACCACCGATTGAACCGGAAATTGCAGAAAGATGGATACACATCGCAAAAACCGGCCTTGAAGAACCCGTTCTTAACCTATTAATGGAGAAGTACCCCTCTCCAGAGAATGCCACCTCTTTAGGACCACCACAGTTAAATTTAATGGGGAAACAGGCCATACATGATAATGTGGAGTGCAGAGATGAAATTGGCTAAAATTCAATCAAGATTAGCAGCCAGTTTGTCGGCTATAGGCCAAGTAATGGCAAAAATTTTAGAGGAAAAGGGAAAGGGGGGAGAAAGGAATATAAAGCATTATATAGAGACCCTAAACGACACAGAACGTTTTATAACTGGTGTTATCCATTCCGAGTCAATATCGAGGAGGGAACTAGTGTCTTTCGATTTAAATAAAAATTGGAAAACCACTCTAACGGAATCCCCTTTGGATACCTGGTTATTTGGTGAGGATTTGGAAGGAAGATTAAAGGCGGGCAAAGAGTTGTCCGCCTTTAACTGTCATCCAGTCAGTTAAAGACTGTCAGAAGTACTCCAGGAAGAATCGTATCAAATGCAGCCAGATCTCGGTCCACGCCGCATTTAAACTTCAAAAGTCTGCCTCAACATCAGCAGGGAGGGAAACGGGACAGACTCATGTTCGAGAAACTTCCTACAACCGCCCACGTCAAAGGCGGACCTGGAACCGAATACAACACTTCGGCGTAAGGTCGCGTTCTCAGGGAAGATGTATAGGGATAATAGATGTATTATGGCATGGTTGCAAGGTTTTAAAATTCCGTTTGTGACGAGACCATCACATAACATAATCTCAGGTAGACATAAATGGTCGGTGCAACAACATAAGACAATTGAGGGCAACGTTCGGAGATTGCTTAGTATAGGGGCTATTTCTAAGGCACAGCCATGTAAAAATCAGTTTATTACAGAGATATTCACGTTTCAGTTGTTTATTTAGATGATTTTTAATTACTAGGAGATTCTTATGATGCATGTTTAGCAAATGTATTAGAAACAATTGGACTACTCGAATATGGGGTTTATTGTAAACTATAAAAAGAGTATTATCTCCACAAAAAATTGTGACGTTTTTGGGGTTTAAATTAAACTCTATGGATATGACTATTTCTGTTCAAGAGGAAAAAATCACAAAAATAATTTTGCATTTAAAAAAGTTTTTAAGATGGAAGAAATGCACTACAAGGGAGTTTGTAAGGCTAACAGGGAAGTTGATATCCATATGTCCAGCCATAAGTACGGTTATTTATATACCAAATTGTTTCGAGAGAGAAAAAAATTTAGCGTTAAAGAGTAATAAAGGAAATTATAACGGAACTATGAAAATTTCTAAGAAGTTATGTGTTGATACCGATTGGTGGATTCGAAACATACCTATTAGCAAAAACTTATTATCATATAGTAAATACTCTATGGAAATATTCTCTGACGCATCAGATATTGGATGGGGTGTTTGTTGCAATAACATAAGTTCTCAAGGTCTCTGGCCTACCTACGAATGAGAAGAACACATAAATTTTAGGGAGTTACAAGCTGTTTATTTTGGCTTGAAAGGCTTTGCTAATGACTTATCTAACGTTTCTAGCTTGTGCAAGGTAGACAGTGTTGTCTACCCTATATGCCAGTGCAGTAGTGTTACTGCACTGGCATATACCTATATTACATAGAACATAATGTGTTCAATTTCCAAGTTAAACAATATCCCTCGAATAATTTGGCAATGGTGTGAGGAAAGGAGATTATTTATCGTAGCCTCTTATATTAGATCTCAAGAGAATAAGGAAGCTGACAGGGCTTCCAGGGAATTTAAGGTCGAGACAGAATGGAGTTTAGCGAGCTGGGCATTTGGGAAATTGGTCACTATAAGTGGGGTTTACCGGAAATAGATTTGTTTGCTACGCATATAAATGCTAAATGCAAGAAATACATATCGTGGCACAGGGACCCAGATATGTACGCCATTGATGCCTTTACAACAAACTGGGAAACATTTTATTTTTTGCTTTCCCTCCATTTTCAATGGTCCCAAAGGCTCTGCAAAAAGAAAAAAAATTATTTCTGATCAGGCAGAAGGTATAATGGTTGTACCCAACTGGGTTTCGCAACCTTGGTATTCGGTTTTAAGGGCGATGTTAATAGATGAGCCGATTATTTTTTTAAATTAATAAATATTTACTTCTTTTAGCGGATCTCCCCACCCGTTAGCCAACATCTTTCTCTGACGGGAGGTCCGGCTATCAGGCAAGCCTTGCTCTTAGGGAATGTTCCAGAAGAAGCGCTGGAAATTTGCATGTCTTCAATAACAAGTAACACCTTAAAACAGTCTAACTCAGGGCTTAAATAATGGTGGGAATTTTGTAGCGTTAAGAACTTAGATCCCTTCTCGGTTTCGGGTTCCAACGTTCTAATATTTTGACTCAACTCTTTAACGAAGGCGCATCTTTTAGCTCATTAAGTTCTTATAGAGCAGCCATAGCACAGATAGCGGGCCCAGACCTCTTACAAGATTTTCGTATGCAAAGGTTTTTTAAGGGAATATATATGTTGAGACCTAATAAGCCCAAGTCCGAAAATACCTGGGATCCTACGTACGTAGTACTTAATTATTTAAAAATAAAAAATAATTATGAGTTAACCTTGGAGGGGCTTACGCATAAATTAGTGACATTACTGGCCTTAGCATCGGGTCAACGTTTACAAACACTATCGCTTATTGATATAAGGGAAATTTTTCGGAAGTTAGGGGAAATACATATAAAAATTAGCGCAAGATTAAAAACATTCGGTAGAAATAAGCCGCAACCCTTTTTACGCTTACCTTATTTCAAGAAAGACGCTAATTTATGCGTAGCTAGCACGTTAGTAGAGTATCTAAAACGAACAGAGAGCATTAGAGGAAGTATAACTTCTGTTTTCGTAACAATCAAGAAACCGCATAAGAAAACATCCACTCAAACCTTGGGGAGCTGGATTAAAATTGTCCTAAATAAGAGTAGGATTGATACGGATCATTTTACCGCCATAGTACACGGCATGCTGTAACTTCAGCAGCTGCCAGGAAAGGGTTAAATTTTGATACATCAGACTCGCTGCTGGTTGGTCTAAAAATTCTAGAATGTTCGCTACTGTTTACAATAGATCCTTGATGGATAATGAGAATAGTTTTGCTGAGAAATTAATCTTTATATATTTTCAATATAGAAATGGGAGAAAAAGATTATGTTGTTGTTATTACTTTAAAAATCTACATTGTACTTATTTATGGAGACGAGACCTATATAATCACAAGATTAAACGAACTTACCTGAAGTGAAGTTCAATCTTGATTATATGAAGGTCTCTGTCGAAATAAATAAGTTCCTCCCACCCTCAACCTCAATTTACAACAACATAATAAGTATCTTTAAAATTGACTAAATAAGAAATGATGCAAGGGCATATAATGAGGTAAGGGAGCAGGGAAGCGAGGGGCATGTTGAAATTTGTTTGTTTAGGCTTTAAAATGTGTGGTCGCCGCACGGAGAAAAGGGAACTACATTGTACTTATTTATTTCGACGAGACCTTCATATAATCAAGATTGAACTTCACTTCAGGTAAGTTCGTTTAATCTTGTGATTATAGGGGTTTGTTAATATGTTTAAATGCTTTGGTTTTTGAGATATTTAAAGATATTTAAATATGCATATGCCATAATAAATAAAAAAGTTTGTCAACACCTTGTACATTACTCTTCAGAGTTAATTCTTGTGCTGACTTTGAAGCCAGAGAAATAAACTTTACTAAAAAAATGTATTGCCTCCTTAAATGTATACAGGAGTATCAAAAATTACTGGTCTATTTTAAATATTAATTTTACCTAAAAACTTCGTTATTTCAAATACAACACTATGTATTTTTTAAAGTTACTCGAAGCAGATTTAAATGCTCTTTCAAACTATATTAGGGTTTCCTATACCTATCTGGCTCAGATTTTGAATAAAAAGCGATTTTTCAAAAAAATGGCAATCAAGATGGCTGGCGTCGCCGTGGCAATTTGCTAGTGTTATAACAGTTTACTTTTATTTAATTTACCTACAATAGTTTAATAAGTAAGTATTTATTATTTTGTCAAGAAAAATAAAGAAGTAGTTCTTTGATTTATATTACGATGACTTGTAGATATATTGGATTTTCTATAAAAGAACCAATTAAGGCAAATTCATTTTCTTCACTTCCAACGACTGGTTTATGCCTAATAGGTTATTAATATACCACACAATCAACTCTGCGAAATAGGAAAAATCTTTTTTCCTATCAAGATTTCAAAACGGGATCCCGATCCCGAAAATTGGAAACCCTAATTAATCCGTACTTTTTAATCTGTACTGTTAATTATATACATATAGGATATTCTTTCATCTTTCGAGGAATGCTTAACTTTCTGACACTCCTCTGAGTTTAAGCATTTCCATAGCATAGTATTTTTAATTTTAGTCAAGTGGTTTTCTTCAAAATTGTTTAATTCTAGAAGGAAATCCAGCAATGGGACTGACGATTCATCGAATTCGGGTACATTAAAACGACAACATTCGTATAAAAACAGAGGATCAATAGAGTCGATGAACAATAGAAGCGGAAATGCAACTCCGTTAGGTGGTGGTACTCCAGTACGTGAGATGGCCAGTCTTTTTGCTGAACGACCTCCCAGTGTTAATTCACCTCGTAGTCCCCCTATGTCGCCTAGCAATTTAGAGATGACGTCTTGTATGGTACGTAGTAGGCAAATATCAATATCTCACAATATATTTAATTATTTCCTTTTAAGACCTCTAGAAATAGTGCAGAGAATTTCCAAAAGGCACGATCCGTAATCGCTGAGATGTTTGAATCCCGCAGTTTCCAATTCCAACCTTTTACTAAACCTTCCCACTAACATTGCACCACCATTATCTAACCACCCTATTAAACTTTTCATTTGGTAAAACTTATTCTTCACTAATTCATTTTGTTGACAACTTGCTAATTGCTTACATACAGAATGTTTCAAAAGAGATGTGACATCTCTCCTAGGGAGATTCCTCACGTAAAAATAAGATTATTTTTTATATCTTTCTCGTTTGTAGCTACAGGTGAGTTAGTTTTTTTTCGATTTATTATAATTTTATTCCAACTGCTTTAAACGATTCGAATGAAACTTTGAGGGTAAAAGTTATTATAAGTGCTACATAAAAAACTAAAAAAGTTACAACAGATTCACTAGGGTTGTACATATGGGTTTTCTCTGTAATATTTTTCTAAAGAAAACCAGTGGCGGCTCGTGGCAAAAAAGAGTAGGGAAGCAATAATAGAAAAAAATACCCCCCCCCCTGCAGTGGCGCATCTAGAGATTTGGTCTGGGAGGGGTAGTGACAATATTTATGTAAAGTAAATACTAGATTTAAATTATTTTTTTCTTAAAAGGTATTGTAAAATTAAACTGTGGAAAAAATTAACCTGGGTTGGTCTAGATTTTCTGTTTTCATTGGTATTATTAATTTATTTTGTGACAATTTTATTTTTACCACATTTTATTTTATTTATAAAATTTCTTCCTGGAAGGGGTAATTACCCCCATTACCCCTCCCTTATATGCTCCCCTGCCCCCCTGTCACTTTCGTTAAGAAATCCTAAAACGTTATGCATCTAAGACTACAAAAAACTTTTCAAACATTTTAATGGGGACCAAACGGCACAAAATTTGAATGATTTTAAAAAAGAAATGACTCGGATCTGGTGTAACAAAAAATGTATACTAATCACGCGTCTAATCCTATTTTTTGTTCTTAGTGCGATGCACTATTTTCTGCTGCCTACAGTAATAAAATAATCCAGAATACAAAGGTATTTTGTAATTTAAAAAATGTACTTACGAACGGAATCATATTGCGTCATTGTAAAATTTGCTGCCCTTTGATCATGGCGCGTGGCGTCTCGTTCGGCACGCGTTCGGCTAGGAACTTATGAAAACTAAATCGGCGTGTTCAGTTTTGGCTAAATACGTTTATGTTAAAGTGATATGATAACTCGGATTCCCCAAAAATTAAGTGATGGAAGAGTAAAAAGTAAAAATTGGTATATTTTATATTTTATTTTTATTAAAAATAATTGTATTACTTTCTGAATTATTTTAGAGGAAGCAATGCTTCCCATGCTTCCGCTGACGAGCCGCCACTGAAGAAAACATGCGCGCCACTGACTTTTTTCTCTTGTTACCAAAATGATGTAGGCCGTTAATGCCGATTAAAAGTTGTCTCTTCATATTTTGTCGATTTCGATCTCCTTGATGCGATAAACGCAATTTTATTAATATACCTTACTCCAAGTCTAATAGCAATAACCTTTAAATTTTTCTAAAGGCGAAACTAGGCGATAAACGAGCAATCCGATCGAGCGATCTAGGCACTTTCGATCAAATTGTCGAAAGATCTCAACTACTAAAAAACAGCATCTGAAATTAATTTCCAGAAAAATTGATTGACAACCAAATAGCTTGAATGCATTAGCGTAACTAGCAATTTATACTGGGTTGGGCCTGGGGGGGAGGGGGGGGGCTGGCGTTGATCCCAGGGGGGCCCTAGGGCTTTTGTTTATATATGTATTAATACATTTTTTGAACACAACAAAATAATATTAACTAAACAAAACTAGAAAACGTAGTATTTACTGCATCACAAGCAAATAAAAATTAATATGTAGCCAAGAGTCATAATTCAGGATATCTCTGGGGGGGGGGCACACCCGGGTACCACTGTTGTTACGCCAATGCTTGAATGTCGCCTTATAAAAGGTCCGTTTCAAGCAACCAATTTCCAAGAAATTTAGAAGCAATTTTATCGCTCAACTTGGTTGCTACAAAATCGCCCAGTAATGGGGGCATAATGTCATTAACTGGCCGAAGTGTTAAATAAGTATCATTGATTCCTCATCAAAATATATGAAAAAAAGTTCTTATAAACAGGGGTGTGGAAATGCATAGTTTTAAAGATCCAGGATGTTATAAGTTTTAAAAATAGGTCTTTTGTAATTATCTTAAATACCATTTTATAATTTGCTGGAGGTAGCACATTTATTAATTTTATTTTTATTTTATTAATTGTGATTAATAAAATTGCGTTTATCTCATCAAGGAGGAGATCGAAATCGACATATCAAGATACAACTTTAAAACTTTAAATTTTTTAACCGGCATTAACAGCCTTTACAATTTTACAAAGCAAAATCGGGCCTATGTTGATATAAAAATAAATTTTATTTTTACGTGAAGAGTCTCCCCACGACAGAAGGCACATGGTTTTCTGAAACACCCTCTATATGAATGTACCATGTTATCATTTGGCCTTATTCAAACCTATACTTCTTTAATTAAACTACGTTGTATCACAACATTTTTTTATTTATTTATCAATCATCTTACTACAAGTTTTTATTTATAATATAATATATATAACGTATTTCAAGATAGTATAGAACTTGTTTAGCTGTTAATGTGAAAAATACCTTAAAACTGCCATATACTATTTATCCTATTGATAGTTACAAAGTATATCTTCATAGAAGCATGTATTGTTTACCGATACTGTGTCATTGTAGTGCAAAAGGGTGTTATGAACCCCAAAAGTTCCAGCCTCGATAATGATATTCATCAATTTATTGGTACTTTGAACTAAATATTTTAAGTGGTTTTTAACACTAGTAAATAATGTTATAAATTTTAAATAGGAATTGTACTTCAGAATATACTAGAAATAAAATAATTTTAAATATATCTAGAAGTCGTATTTAGTAACGTTTAGCACAATAGGTCTTTTTTCTACCTAAAGAATTTTGTTTTTTACTACTAGTAATATTTTATTCATTTGCTCTGAATTTTAGTTGGCTTTTGAAAAAAATACATCTTTATCAATATTTGTGTTACTATTAAATGCACTACATTTTTTTCCAGATAATTAGACCTTCTTTTATTTGAATATTAGTCCTCTTAAAATTCTGGAAAAAGTTAAGCTTTATTTAACAGCGATAATTTGTTTTTTCTACTCAACAATATTTATGTCTTTCACTGGCCGGATTCATCTAATTGCAATGATAAGCAATTTAAAAATGTCACTATATTAAATAGGTATAATATAAAACTAAACCTCTCTACGCGGCTATTTGAAAAATATATTCCAGATAATGATAATACTAAATTGAACAAGAAATTTTAAGTGTGTTTTATGTTGTTGTTACTTGATATAATATTCAGGGTGTAGTAAAAAATGAATGTCCTTTTATAAATTATTGATACACACAATTTACACATACATGATCAGATCATATCATTTTCAACTATATCAGTTGTGTTGTTTAGCTTGCATGCTTTAGCATTAGAATTACACTTTCAAGTATTCTAAAATATATTTTTGTTATTGTAGACTGACTCTATTACTTCACTGCCACCACCACCTGAAATCAGCGGGGATATAATCACCGAGTCGCCCAGCTATCAACTGCCACCGCCACCTCCTGAACTTTATAACTCAAACTTATCACTTGATAGTTTGCCACCACCGCCCAATCCTAGCGAATTACCTCCAATGACTGGTAGTGAACTGACTGGTAGTCAACTAAGTCTTATGTCACTGCCGCCACCTCCTGGAGAAGACACTGGAACGATACGTAGACGGAAAGGCAGTGGATCGTCGTGTGCCACTCCAACTAATGTTTTAAGTCCAGATAGAACTCCTACACAAGGAATGTCTCCCGACCAAACACCCACACAATCTAGACTAAATACTCCATGTGTTAGTCCCCCTTTATCTAATATGGGTTCAAATTGTAGTACGCCGACTCAAGCTAATCCGCCTTGTAGTTTCAGCCCTACCCAAAGAATGGTTAATAATGGACTTCATGGACAAATTGGCCAAAACCATGATAGAAACTCTCAGCCAGAATCTATTTATGGTAGTAGTAACGGCTTTTATAACACTCCGCCTCCCTATGTTAATCCACCACAATATAGACAGACCAGTACTTTACCTGGTACATCTCCGTTTGCAAACAATAATGGTTTAAGATCATCCTTAAGGCAAACATCATTGCCTCGACAGATTTCGTCAAATAGTATTGCATCGACGAATAGTTCAAGTTCCTCTGGTAATAACTCAATTTACAATATTAGCGGCGAGCTGCGAAATTCTCCTAAAAGTCAACGAAAGGTAGTCTTCCAAGAACCGACCAGTCCAAAGAAAAGCAACAAAAAGATTAGTTTTAATTTAACGCCTCAAGAGGTGCCCCCATTACCTAAGAAACCTCCACCTCCTAAACGTTCGGAAACTACTCGACTGTCCAGCCCTAAAAAGCTTGTCGAACCACCAACAGACTTCTTAAAGGATCTTCAACGTGTAATGCGAAAAAAATGGCAGGTTGCACAAAAATGCAAATTAGAACCAGACACTACACCACATGAAGTGCTTGGTTTTCGAGATCCTCCTGTACTGTTACCCGACTATAAGGAACACAATGTGTCAAACTGGGTAAAAGAACATTACGGACCAAATAATTTATATGAAAATGTCTATAGAGATAGCACGGGAGAGGGTGCTGTAGAATATGTATCATCGCCGCTTCGCAATTGCAAAAGACCACCACCGCCACCACCTAAACGTAGTCAAACGACACAACTTTCTACACCCAAAATGCACTGATGTCGCGTCTGTTAATTCCATCTCATATCTACATGGATCTGAAAAAAAAAATACTTCAAATCGTTATACTATCGTGTTTCAAATCCAAAGTGCTTTTCTGGTTTTAGCCTTTTGTAACAGATTGTACTCAGCTTCTCATGCCTGTTTTAATATGATTTGAAGTAATTTTCTAATCTTATACTGCCAAAAAAATCTAAATGTAATATATAATAAAGAGAAACACCAGCATAACCAGTAACTTAGGCTAAGATTTCTAATAACTACAAAACTGCCACAGGAGGCAAAAATGTGATTCTTAATTTGGTAAAATTAGTAGAGAATGATGTGCCATTTTATTGAGTGAGTATTGCTGATTTTTTCGTTTTGGACTGATGTAATTTTAAGCCGCGTGCTTTTTTGTATATATTTAATTTCACTTTGTAAACGAGAAAAGAAAAATGTCAAACATTTTATGGTGCTTATAGGTATATAAATCTATAATGAATTTTTCTTAGATATAAGGAAGTAGTAAATTTTTGTGTGTTTTTATAAATTTTATATCGAATTTTTACAAGGTAATTAGTTGGACGAAGTTTTTAAGAATTGTGGGAAAGGGCAGGAATAATGTCCTCTGTGGTGTAACAGGGTTGAATAAATGAGTCTTTTATTTTTGTTTAGTTTTCAGAATATATTTTTTTGTTTGTAAATATATTTTTTTATGGAATATAGCTCATAATTTACTTAAGTTTCCTAAAGCTATCGATAAAGTGATGGCAAATTTTAGCATATTGTACATTTTTAGTTAAACAAAATGTAAAATATTATTAAGAAAATTATTAAGTGTAAACTGGAGGATCTCTACAATGCCATTGGATAAAATATGATATAATAGCATAAAGTTTTGTATTGGTTTTTAGATTTTTTACTAATCTATTGTAGTCTATTATGCTATATTAGTAGTCTTTAAAAGCGTAGACAAGTATATGTTAGAGAAATTTCTGTATTGCTAATTTATTATTTTTTAACCCGAAAAATGGTGCAATTTAATTTTTATTTGTGCGTTTTTATTTATTGAAAAATGTTAAGACCAATTTAGGGGCGTTGTAGAACATAAAAGAACTTTAATTTTGTTTTTTACATATAAGGTGCTTATTACTATAAACACTTTGTATACTGTCTACCATTTATATTATTCATATACTTACTAACTGTTATATATAGTATTACAATAAATTAATATGTAAAGTAAGTCTTTCTTTAATTTCATCAAATATAAAATACAATGTCTAATAGTGGGGCAAATCACAAATAATATAATATTAAGGTGCGTCCAGATTTAAGCATTTTAGTCCGAACGAACAGAACAAACTGAATGCGCAGGAACAAGCAGAATAAATAGGCGAAACAATAAGTCATTGCATTCACGCGAATAAAAATATTACATCTGCTTGAAGTGTTTGTGAGTACACCGTGGTAGTTTTACTATAGTAAATATACAAAATCAACAACTACAACCCAGTTTCAAGATAAAAAGAAACACGAATACTGATTTAGCAGTAGCTTTTAGTGCTTTTTTCACAATTTGTACGGAGACAAAAAATAAGAAAAAATTGTAAAGCTAATGGTTACGAAGATTCTATTCACATCAAGTCCCAATCTTTGTGTCCCGAACGACACAAAGGATTCAAACAGCACGAACGCTACGAACTAAGTTATTTCTCGTCAATTCAAAAATTCGGCAAACGCTAAATCCTTTTGAGCAATTCCGATTTACCGACACGCTTCGAAAAATGTTTGGCGCGTTCGGTGTGGCTCGGTGACAGGTCCAGACTCCAGACCTTCGTTCTGTTCGTTCGAGCTAAACTGCTCAAATCTGGAGTTTGGGCGCACCTTTAGGTTTTAAAAATCTCAAATGAACCGAAAAAGAACAAGACATAAAACGTTGCAGATTTTCAGATTTATTGAATTATATTAAGGCTTAAACAATAATTTTGTTCTAGAAAGAAATAAGTAGAAAAATGCATGTTACTGTCCCATAAACAAAGTCGTGGAATACATATTATGGCATATCTTTATTCACGAGGTTTTTAAGATCCATATAAGATCTAAGGATAGCACAAAGTATGGCCAAAGGTATGGCACAAAGCACAAAAAATCTTGGATAAAGCACTAAACAGTTGGCAACACTGCTTAGATCTTGTAATTTTTAGTGATTGGTGATTGGTGACAATCATGTGACTTTGTTTATTGTTTATTTTGGTAAGAAAAGTGTACATGAAAAGTGTTTTTCAGTAAAATTTTGGATATTTTTCTACTCCCAATCAAGGGTGGCTTAACTATAATATGTTCGAGCTGATACAACATGTTTAATGTTTTCGTTGCTGCTAAAAACGCCAGTTAGCACCATTGTCCACGAATCCGGACATCGTTGAAATAGATGAGACGCATCGTTATATGGCTAGGTGATCGTTGGGTATTTGGCGGTATCAGCCGACAACACCAAGAGGCTATTTGCGTTGGTGGTTCAAGACCAATCAGCTAATACACTATTGCCAATCATTTTCATCTGTTCAGATGAGTGGCGAGGATATAGTATCGTTATTCTCTGGCCATGGTACAGTAAACCATTCCTGGAACATCCTAAACCCACCCAGAAACTAAGAACCCCTATGGGTTCCTGCAGAAAGATTCTACGAGAATTGCACGGACACAGATTTTATTGTATGGACAATATGGTACTACTATTGTGAGTAGACTTATTTACCTTTTATAGGAGTTTATTAATTAATTATATTATATAATTTGTTTCAGGTATCATACCCAAAATATTGGGAGGGCGTGGAGGAGTTTAAAGGAGGTTTTTAAGGGAGGATGGAACATGCCAAAGATTTCATTGGAGAGTGGATGTACCAGATGAACGACCTCTCCCAAGCTCAGGATATGAGGACTCAATTTGAACTGTTCTGCTGGGATATTTGCAGTGCATAAACCGGACCCGGGCAAGTAAAAATGGTAGCCAATTTATTGGACTGCATCTGCAATGAGTGCGAACTATAAAGGTCGATTTATAAACTCTACAGTTTGCTTTGGATTTGGCGTTGGCGTTGGATTTGCCGTCGACCGTTCGTAGCGCCGCAAAATCGCATTTATAAACTCGACGGTTGACAGTTGGCTTTGGCCGTTTTGGGCAGATCTAACCTTACATTTTTGTTTACTTTTTACTTAAGAGTAGCAGAGTCTATAGTGCGTTTTTAGAGACGAAAGTGTTTAAAGTTTTGGTTTTTTGTTCGAGATTTTTAATTATGGATTTGGAAAGTAATGGTCTTGATGAAATTACTCTATTAGGGTTATTGGGAGTGACCATAAATTTGGAATTAGCATACTTCAAAACTAGATGTAAACAAAGCAACACGTGATCGCTCTTTACTATTCTATTGGCTGTAACGTCATTTGCTACGTGGTGCTACGGACGGCGAACCGCCGCGAAAAAGTTAAACATAATTCAAGTCCGACGGCAACCGGGCGCCAAAGCCAAAGCCAACCGTGTTTATAAATGCTCTTATGGTAATATACAGTTTTAAGAATTGGGCGGCGGTGCCAACGCCAAAGCCAAATCCAACTGTGAGTTTATAAAGGTCGATTTATAAACTCTACAGTTGGCTTTGGATTTGGCGTTGGCGTTGGATTTGCCGTCGACCGTTCGTAGCGCCGCAAAATCGCATTTATAAACTCGACGGTTGACAGTTGGCTTTGGCCGTTTTGGGCAGATCTAACCTTACATTTTTGTTTACTTTTTGCTTGAGAGTAGCAGAGTCTATAGTGCGTTTTTAGAGACGAAAGTGTTTAAAGTTTTGGTTTTTTGTTCGAGAGTAGGTTTAAGTAGGATTTATAAACTCACAGTTGGATTTGGCTTTGGCGTTGGCGCCGCCGCCCAATTCTTAAAACTGTATATTACCATAAGAGCATTTATAAACACGGTTGGCGTTGGCTTTGGCGCCCGATTGCCGTCGGACTTGAATTATGTTTAACTTTTTACCGTTCGAAGCGGTTCGCCGTCCGTAGCACCACGTAGCAAATGACGTTACAGCCAATAGAATAGTAAAGAGCGATCACGTGATGCTTTGTTTACATCTAGTTTTGAAGTATGGGAATTCCAAATTTATGGTCACTCCCAATAACCCTAATAGGGTAATTTCATCAAGACCATTACTTTCCAAATCCATAATTAAGAATCTCGAACAAAAAACCAAAACTTTAAACACTTTCGTCTCTAAAAATGCACTATAGACTCTGCTACTCTCAAGTCAAAAGTAAACAAAAATGTAAGGTTAGATCTGCCCAAAACGGCCAAAGCCAACTGTCAACCGTCGAGTTTATAAATGCGATTTTGCGGCGCTACGAACGGTCGACGGCAAATCCAACGCCAACGCCAAATCCAAAGCCAACTGTTGAGTTGACCTTAAAGGTCGATTTATAAACTCTACAGTTTACCAAAGCCAAAGCCAACTGTCAACCGTCGAGTTTATAAATGCGATTTTGCGGCGCTACGAACGGTCGACGGCAAATCCAACGCCAACGCCAAATCCAAAGCCAACTGTTGAGTTGACCTTAAAGGTCGATTTATAAACTCTACAGTTGGCTTTGGATTTGGCGTTGGCGTTGGATTTGCCGTCGACTGTTCGTAGCGCCGCAAAATCGCATTTATAAACTCCACGGTTGACAGTTGGCTTTGGCCGTTTTGGGCAGATCTAACCTTACATTTTTGTTTACTTTTTACTTAAGAGTAGCAGAGTCTATAGTGCGTTTTTAGAGACGAAAGTGTTTAAAGTTTTGGTTTTTTGTTCGAGATTTTTAATTATGGATTTGGAAAGTAATGGTCTTGATGAAATTACCCTATTAGGGTTATTGGGAGTGACCATAAATTTGGAATTAGCATACTTCAAAACTAGATGTAAACAAAGCAACACGTGATCGCTCTTTACTATTCTATTGGCTGTAACGTCATTGCTACGTGGTGCTACGGACGGCGAACCGCCTCGAACGGTAAAAAGTTAAACATAATTCAAGTCCGACGGCAACCGGGCGCCAAAGCCAACGCCAACCGTGTTTATAAATGCTCTTATGGTAATATACAGTTTTAAGAATTGGGCGGCGGCGCCAAAGCCAAATCCAACTGTGAGTTTATAAATCCTACTTTAAGAATTGGGCGGCGGCGCCAACACCAAAGCCAAATCCAACTGTGAGTTTATAAATCCTACTTAAATCCTACTTAACTCTTGTGTGGGCAAGATTTTTGTTCAAGTTTCGTTTACTTGAAATCATTACGTAAGAAATATTTGTTTATTTAGTATTTGGAAGCCTTTTTGAATTCTTCTTCTTCTTATCACGCCCTCTCCTGCCGAAGGTTGGCGATCCAAATGGCAATTGTGGCTCTGGAAACTGCAGCCCGGAAGATCTTCCTATTGATCTTTTCCCTTGCACTTTGCCCTCTATTATGAGGCGCAGTATTTCGTATCTACCACCTCTCATCACATAACCCAGGTATTGCATTTTTCTTTCCTTGATGGTGTTCAGTATCTCTTTTTGTTTCTGCATACGCTGGAGTACTTCATGGTTGATCCTTTTTGAATAGTAACTTTAGAATTGCTGAAATCAAGGCTAGTTTAGTTTAGCTGAAATCAGTTATGTAAGAAATATTTGTTGTTTGTAGCACTTGGAAGCCTTTCCAAATAAGTAAGTTACGAAAAATTTTCTACGGAAATGCATAATTTTCAGTTTTTCAACTTTAGAATAGCTGAAGGCTGAAGTCAATTACATGAAAACACGTTTCTGTTTTTTGTTCTAGAAATTTTTCTAAACATAGACACGCAAATTACTTTTGCGGAAGTGTACCATTTTCATTTATTTATAAAACATTGTAAAATATAGCAAGATTTGAAAAGTACTCAGCAATTGGAATTCGTAAACAGACGCGTTTTAGCTTCCAACGTATTTTGATTGCTTTGGTTATGTTTGTTTTGGTTTGTTGGTTCATTTTTGTTTATTTTCGTTTTTTCTGGGTACCCTATTGTTGCCTAAATTACAGTATCTGGTATCAGGTTAAGTTCATACCTACATAAGAAAAGTGTTAAGAATGTAAAGCAGGAACACGTTTTCATATAACTGATTTCTGTTATTCTAAAGTCAGAAAAAAGAGAATGATGTATTTCCGCAGAGAACTTTTTATGATTTTGTGTTTGGGGAGGCTTCTATATACTGGATGTTTTGTTGTTTTTTTATGAAGTGATTTCAAGTAAAAAAGAACTTCACCTAAGATTTTTATAGAGTATGTTCCCGGATTGTCTTTATAAGAGGAAAAACTTTATTATTGACATTTTGAGAAAAATGGCATTCTTCATATAAATTTTTACTTATAAATTGGTTAATCCCTTTATACTGTTCCAGAGAAAATTAAAAAAAAACATGAAAATATAGTTCAATATCTTAAGTCCTAAAAATCAAAACGTGCTTCTGTGGTAAAATAATTTTGTTTGCATTCTTTGAGAGATCACATATATTGACCAGGATTAATATTAGCTTTGTTCGCACAGCGAAATATCCAACCGGTTGTCAATTTATTCCTACAGAATAAAGTTTTTCCTCTTGTACAAACCATCCGGAGACATACTGTAGAGGCTTTACTGACAATATGCTCTATGTTTCAGACCTGTAGTACCGTTGAAAAAGGGGTACAACCTATAAAGTAAACAACTGGAATTTTCAAGATTTTTCTTTACCTTACAGATAAAACGGAGGATAGAAGGATAATAATATAGAAAATGATATCTGTCGGTGTTCATATAACTGACCTTATTTTTCCGTAATTTATTTCATTTATTTGATTTTTGATTTACATCATGATGAATAAAAATTATTAATAAGCTTTTTTCTATGCATTTTGCATTAACTGTTAATGGAATATCAAGCAACATAAGGCAGGCTTTAGAAGATGACACTTTGTATTATTGTAAAAAATTGCATTAAAATGGGAATGAAATTAAAAATAAATTATTAAATAGTAAAAATATTTTATTTAGTTATTTACATATATTACATATTATACTGATTATTTAATAGAAATCTATAAATTATGTCACATGATTTAAATTTAATCCTTTTTATAACAATTTTGCGGTTCATACATTCCTCGATAGGTTAATAATACAGAAAATAAGTAATTTTGCATCAATATTTATTATAAATATTATATAAAGATAAATAAACTAACTGATTAATAAAAAAATCACTTCATTATTAAATTCTTAAGTTTAGTAAAAACGTTTTTTCAATAATCTTACAGCGCTTTCAGATGGAACGGAGCGTCTTGAAAAAACACGCGGACGATCAGCGCGGTCCGCGTGTTTTTTCAAGATAGCCGTTGGACGAAATCATCCGGACGGAGCATATGCGACCGACGTGAAATTGTTCATATAAACCAATATTTTTTTAGTTTATGGAATCTATTATCCCTGTATTTTATATTATTTTTGATAATCTATTATCTATTCAAATTGAATTTTTTGTTCAATGTCTCTGTAAATAAATAAATAAATAACTAATAACTTTTACAATGTTCTATTATGCCCTTTTTGAGTCGCATCTTCGTTATGCCCTTCCATTCTGGGGTACTTGCTGCGCGACAAAATTTGATCGTATTTTCAAACTTCAAAAGAGAGCAGTTCGATATTTATTGGGACTGAATAGTAGAACTCACTGCCAGAATTTCTTTAAAATTTTCAAAATACTGACTTTTCCTTCCTTATTCATTTTTGAATCCGTTTGCTTAATCCGCAAGCACATATCTGCTATTCCAGAAAGGCCATCTCACAAATATCCACTTAGGAATGCGGAGCACGATCTTTGTCTACCAACCCCGAGCTCAGAACTAGTTAAAGGCTCAATACTGTACAATGAAAAACTCACCGGTTTTTAAATAAAAAATATTTTAATATTTGAGGGATAGTTTCACCTCCTTAGAGTTTCGAAAAATCCCTTCTTATCGAACCTCTACACCCTAAAGTCAATCTGTTTTCCAAAAATCAGCTTTTTACGTCAAGCGCTTTAAGCAGGATCGTGATTAATCAATTACCAGATTTTTCAAAACACCCTGTATACATTTTTAAAAAATCTTAAAATATGTAATAAAACAAAATAACATATACGTGTTTAAGCGTTTTTTCGGATACTTGACCGTTTTTTAAATAAAAAATATTGTAATATTTGAGGGGTGATTTCGCCCTCTTGGAACTGGAATTTCGAAAAATCCCTTCTTATCGAACCTCTACACCCTAGAATCAACCTGTATGCCAAAATTGAGCTTCTTACATTGAGTGGTTTGAGCAGGATCGCGTAATTAATCAGTATGTCAGTCACTTAAGGATTTTTTATATTAGTATAGACTAGTCGTCTGGTCTTCAAAGTAGCCTAAGTTGTTATTATTTTTTGTAATCTAAGTTGATGGCAATATCCGCTTCACATTAGTGCAGCGGCAATTTTTTTTTTATTTTTGACAAATTTGGGATTTAGACGTCGCGTCGCGTTGTCATGACTAATTTCCCAACTCAATTACACCCCCCCCCCATCACCCCCCATAGCTTCACCACTGGAGAAGACTTAAAATGTCCTGAATTCCAAAACGGCCACTCCCGCCAGCTACAATTGACAATTTTTTTTTAATTTCTCAATGATATGAATCCTATATTTTAGGCATTTCCTTGGAGAATGGCCAATAACCTATTCGAATAAAAAACTGGTTATTTAAAAATAGTAACTTTAAAACTACGCATTTTCGCACTCATTTTTATAGGAAATTTTTTCATATTTTTGTATGAGGGACCAATGAGCACTTATTTAACACTTTGGCTAGTTAATGGAGTAAAAAAAATTAAAGCTAAGATTGCTGTTATTAGACTTGAATTGGAGCAAATTAATAAAATTACGTTTATCTCATTAAGGAGACCGAATTCGACAAAATATCAAGAGACACTTCTTAATCGGCATTAAACAGTTTAAACAATTTTTCTAACAAGATAAAGAAAAATTAGTGGCGCACGTTTTTTATTAATAAAATCATAACCCATATGCACGTCCCTGGTCCCTGGTGAATATGACAATACTTTTTTAGCATTAAAATATGTTGCACTTATAGTAACTTATACCCTCAAAATTTCATATGAATCGCTAAAAGTACTTGGAAGAAAATTATAAAAAATCTGAAATAAATGAACTGTAAGATAAAAAACAAATCAGAATCGGTTGATAAAAAAATATAATAAAAATGAATAAAATAAAAAATAAATCTTATTTTTACGAGAGGAATCTCCCCACGAGAAATGGCACATTTTCTGAAACACCCTGTACAGGGTGGGTCAAATTCGACGCTTTTAAATGGGAACACCTTTTTCTATAGGAGATAGACGAAAACTAATATAGGTGTCTGGAGCTCAATTTTCATCAAAAACAGAATGGTGAAAACCGCACATGAATATCTGTTACCGTTTCGGAGTTACGGGGTGTTTTTCAAAAATGTGCATTTTTAACAAATCGTTGTAACTTTTTTACTATGGAAAATTTTGTATTTCTATGAAAACATTTCCAAAGCACCTTTTTAATGGTTTAAGTATAATTATTTTTAAATTAATAATTTAAGAGTTATCAACAGAAAAATTGATTTTTTATTTGGGACACCCTGTATATTTTTAATAACTGAAAAGAATTTACAATTACCTTTCCAAAAATATAGCACCACTTGATATTTTGTTATAATCCCCTTCGAAATACAGAATTTTTAAAAGTTCGCCACTTTTAACTAGTAGACTTTGGACCCCTTATTGATGATATGCCCTTAATGGAACTCGAAAACATATTTTTCCAGCAAGATGACGCACCGCCTCTGAACGCTGAAGTTATCAGCAAATTTTTGCAGCCAATTTCAAGAATAATTGAATAGCTAACCCAGATCCCAGCCGTTGGCCGTCGAGGCCGCCTGACTTAGTGCCCATGGATCTAATCCTATGGATATATTTGCGGAAGAATAAAGGTTCCTTATTCTTCCGTATAATCTAGACAAGAATTAGAAATACTTAGCAGTTATGAGAGGGTATCTTTCACCCCCACTGAGTTAATGAATTCCGCGAGAAATGTTCAAAAACTGCCCACACTGTCCATAACAGAAGACGGTCGATATATCGAACCCTTGTAGCAAAATCTCATGTCTTGGTTTGCTATTTATTTTTATTGTTAAATATAGTTTAAATGTGTTGATGTTGGTTAAATATAATTTAAATTGTTATAAAATTCTGCATCTCTCATAGCAAATATTATTTTCGTTTTAATTGATGCTCACAGCTAGAATTTTTTTGCATTACAGCCGGCGGTGCTGTTCAAAACCTACTTATTTAAAGCGGGCGAATTTTTATATATCTATATCTCGAAGAGGAATCGAACAAAATATCAAGCGTGTTATATTTTTGGAAAGGTAATTTTACATTATTTTCAATAAATTAAAAATATACAGGGTGTCCCATATAAAAAATCAAATTTCTGTTGATAATTCTTAAATTCTACGTAAAAAGGTGCTTTGGAAATGTTTTCATAAAAATACAAAATTTTCCATTGCAAAAAAGTTACAGCGATTTGTTAAAAATGCATATTTTTGAAAAACACTCCGTAACTCCGAAACGGTAACAGATATCGACATGCGGTTTTCACCATCATGTTTTTGACAAAAATTGAGCTCTAGATACCGATATTAGTTTTTGTCTCCTATAGAAAAGAGTGTTTCCATTTAAAAGTGTCGAATTTGACCCACCCTGTACAAGCTTTCACATGACTACATCGAATTGTTTTTGGGTCAATTTAAAGCAAACATTTTTTAACTAAACCAGTTAAATCAGCTTTCACATGCTGATAAACCACCTAAAAGAAGATACCTGTTTACAGTTTACAGTTTACAGTTAATAGTATTTTCTAAGAAGCACTAAGGCACACTAACATAAAAACCAGTGCCTCTTTAGCTTCTGGGGGCACATCACATCTCCCTCTACACTGGCGCCGTGGTGTCAATGTCAATATAGCCAGTAAATTTGTGTCCTGACCACGCAACCTGCCGTGTAATAGACATTTCGTCTAAAACCAAATTGCATAATTATATGGCTTTGGCGACTTCCTCTGCTTTAACAAGGCCAACAGAGCTTTTTTTGTAAAGCCTGCGCTACCATCTACAGATCTGTACCACTTTGAAATTGTGCCTAAATGTGGCAGTGATTTAGTCAATGTTTGCTAATCAAAATTGTAGCCCGTCGGTGAATAAAATGATAGCGGACAAAGCAAAAGACCTAAGACTAGATTATGCTTCCGTTTGCGCGAATCTCTTATCATTCCTTCAAAAATATCTAATACTGCAATACCAGATAATGAAGCCTGCAAAAAATGTTAAAAAATAGTCAGAAATAGTATAATGTTTTATTAGGAGTAAAAATTATACTTTTTGTGGTTTGCTATACGTTTGACATACGACAGTACAGTACAGGCGAGGTACAAAAACTAATTTTTACTCCGAATAGAATTGCTATTTTTTTCAAACGCCACAAATATTTTTTTTTAAATTTTAAACGTTCCAAATAATATAAAAAGATTAAAAAAAGAGTAAAACGTAATAAAATTCTTTGGTATATAATAAATAACAATATCTTTTAAGAAATTATATATCGAGAAACTATAGTTACGCTCGTTGAATTTGACACTTTATGTCAGTTTAATAATGTATTTTCGTACTTTTATGCTTAGGCGTAAAAGTGCTTTACTTTTATGCCCAGACGTTAAAATTACTTTTTCATGTTGTCTATCACGTCGCAAAATTTAATACTTTTTTATTACTCATGCGGGGAAAGTACAGTTTGACAAATATAGGAAGAGACTTGGGGATAGCACCGGTCGCGCACACGATAGAGAGAGAACGCATTCGGCGGAAGAGAGATGCAATTACGCTACGACAAATCTGATTAAAGCAAATTTGTGTGCTGTCCACTGCGCATCGAGGGGCGTCTCTTATTTTATATTTCTTACGTCTCTAGCCATACTTGTTAAGTTGTAGTATCTTTTCGCTCTCTTTTGGCTTCGAAAAGACGCTATTTGCCCACTTCACAATTACCACACGAGTTTTGAACAAATTTAGGGTGTATTCCGTTGCTTATCTTGGTTATGGTCAAAGATAGGTTATGGTTTTATGTTCCGTTTCTATCGGTTTCCTGAAAGTTATCTTATTAACAGAACACGGTTCCTGAAAAATTCGGTTATAACCATTGCCTGGAAACTTATATGGTGAAATTTTGATAAAATAATTTAGTACTCACTAAAAACACGGTATGTCGCTAGTGGCAGGAAAAATAATTTTTAGAGGTTACTAGTTTATTTGGTTGCCTATGATATGCATATACAGGGTGTTTCCTAATTAATCTAAAAAATAAAAAATCGTTAAAAACGGCGGGCTCTTAATAAGTATATTTATTTTTTTCTCGGCAACCGTTTGATGAACAAGAAAAACTCAAAAGATCAATTTTGTTGAAAAAGGATGGCCAGTTAAGAAAAAAAAATTTTCTTTAAAAAAGCAGTAGTGTACCATTTATGTTAAGCAAAATATCGATTTTTTTAAAATTTTTAACACCCTGTAGATCAGAAAGGAAGTACTTTAGACCCAATGGTTATATAAAAATTGTTTTAAGAACACATGAGGAATCACACCACAATTTTTTAGACTAATTAGAAAACACCCTGTATATTGTCAACTTGACAATGATTGTTGATAAATCAAAAAATACCTTTTCTGTGAAAAAAGCCCGATTTTCGCAGGAAAAATTTTGGTTTTTATTGAATTTGGGTCTGCGTCTACAAATACCGGTATGTTTTTTAAGATTCTATCTATCTAAATTTTAAATATCATAGTCAGAAATAGTTTTATTATTTATTAACTGTAAAAATGGTATGCTTATAACTTTTATCAAATATTGTGATTTACTTTCTACCTTGTAGTCAAAATTTATATTTAATAAACTGTAAAATATATATATTCTTATGTTTTATTAAAGTTACTCTGATATACTAATATATCAGTGTAACTTTAAAACTAAATACTTTGAAATCAAATATAAACATAAAAAATATTTACAGCAGAAAAGGCGAAGGCGCTGAGTTAAACGTAGCCTCTACTAAGAACACAGAGGGGCGCTTTGACCCAAAATTTTACTATTAAGTTTCATATCTATCTTAATAGAAGATTATTTTCTTTTATCTATGGTTATAACAAGGTTATAACTGTCACCAAACTATTTTATAACCAGTGCCAGAGCCAGTGCGAGAAGGCTGGTTTTTCTGGTTTTGTTTGTCAATCAATGTCATTTATGTGAGAGAAATCAAGCAAATATTGGAAGTTCAAGTGAAATTCTCATTTAATTTCTAAAATTTGTTATAATATTTTGTATTTACATCCAAAAGCAATGGAGGTAGGCAGTAAAGGTAAATAAATTTCATTAACTAAATAGAATGACTTTTTAGGACCATTTAAACTTATCATGCGGCCATTGTTTCTTAAAGTCAAGAACATTTAAAGAAAACATGAAAAACAAGACAACAAGTAATCGTGAATGTTTTGTAAGCTATAAAAATATAAATATTGATTAGATTTGTTTATTTATTATTGGTCTGTTCTAATATTGGACCTGCAAATCTTCAGTTCAGCTGTCTAACGAGTTTAACAATTTATTAATAAAGTACTTTTCAATTAAATTCCATTGAAAAGAAGAAGCAAACGTAAAAGCAGAGAATAGGTAGGTACATTAAAAATGCATAAATGATAAATTTTATAATAAAGGCTGATAAAGGTATTGAAATTTAGAAAACGTCAACATTTGACATTTCCAGTATTTTACCAAACCGTTCCGTATCAAACCGATGTTTTTCAGGAACCGCTCTTTACCGTAGTTTACCGGCCTGGTTCGCCTGATTTTGCAACGGAATACAGCCTTACTGTCGATTTGAGTACGACGAGTACGACAAGTAAACCAAAGTAAACTTTTCGCACCCAAATTTTCATTGGGACACGCAAATTGACAAGCAAAAAAGACAGCAAAAGACAGTCTCGAAATGTCAATATTAAAGAAGTGAGGTTGACATTTAAATATATTTTTATTTTTTGTTTATTTTATTACGTTGCTTTTTAATATGTCTCTTTTGTTATATTTCATCAAGTAAACAAATTATTGAACACCATTATGCAGAAACAACTTTAAAATTCCTTCATTTTGTACTCTAAAATTCGATTTAAAAATTTGAAGTTTTTAATGTCATCTTTTGCATTCATCTATGGGGTGTTCCAAAAGATATTTTTCTTGTCACGAGATTTTTAAAGTATTTTTTTGCCTTTTAATAAGTCTCTTTTGTTTACATGATGAAATATAACAAAAGAGACATATTAAAAAGCAACGTAATAAAAAATAGTATGTGCAACTCGTACGAAGTTGTCGATTGCCCACTCGAGCGAATCGACAACTTTTCCCACTAGTTGCTCAATATACTATTGTGACCATAGATTGTGACGTTTGAAAAAACACTATTTTCTGTATATTACGTAAATTATCCATACTCACTTCAATTACTGGCTGTGAAGATTATCTGGATATCAATTACTTTTCTTTTAAAGTTTTAAGGAGAACTTGTAAAGATGATATTTTTATATTCAATCTCCTCGCTCTCTTCTGCAATTTGTGTATAGTTTTTCTATGGCTGGTAGCAGCTTTCTTAATAATGCATACATTTTTTCTCCGTTTTTTCGGTGTATCAAAATCACTGATTTCCAGTTCATCAGTATAAAATGGTTTCCTAAAATGTGGTTTATTATAACTAATTTATTAATTTATTGTACTAGGAATAATCCGGTCAAATTTGACCAGATATTCCTAGTACAATGAATTCTTTTATCAAATAAATAATAATGGCCATGATTTAGATTTAAATTGCATTTTAATAATAATAATTATAATACCTTAATAATACATATTACTCTTTATAAATATTCATAAAATTCGTAGTGTGGCCACGGTCTTTAGTAAAACCACAGTTTAAAGAATATAAATATATCAGTTGGCCCACTCTTCGCCCGTATCAAAATTCCTCCCGCCGTTCCCCGCCTGTCTTGTAGACTTGGGTCAGTCTACATCCGTTGCTCGACGTGTACACAGCGTTCCAAGTTTATTTTAGTTTTGTTTTCGGTCCGACGCATAGGGTGAACCAAAAATAGTGTTTTAGTTGTTTTGTTCGAATTGTGAATAAAATGTCTACTAGAAATATTTGTGCAGTGGATGGTTGTGAAAGTAGAATGACAGAAAATATATCGTTCTTTAGGTGCCCAAAAGATGAAGGAAGGTATATGTTTATATAGTATAGGATATTAAGTATATAATAATTAAAGTATTAGACATATTAAGTATATTATAATTATGGAAACCCAACCATGAATAAATTGTTTTAAAAATATACATATAAATTAAGAAAAGATTTTACTCGAAATATGCACAAAATATTTATTTTTAACAATTAGTTTATTATTTTAGTAGATATTTTAGAGTAGTAGTAGATACTTTACTATTATGTTTTGGATTTTCCAGTATTTGCCGGTTGGCAAAGTGCATATTAAATTATTTTTTAAGATATTTTATTATATAACTTTTTTTATTTTTAGTTATTTATATAACTAACTACCTACCTGGAAAGTCCAAATTTTATCGTCAGGTAATAAAAATACGTGCATACAACTTGTTCTGCTATTGACAAGTTTTTTAGAATTTTTACTAAATTTTATGTAACAGTAAATATAACAATTGACGAGCACATGGAAAAAACGATGAGTATCCAGAAATTATAAATGCCCAGGAAAGCGTTTTTTTTAATTCAAATTACGCATGGACTTTTATATCGTTTTTCCCATTTTTAAATGCCTGTTTCTATGTGGCCGTTATCGATATTCCCGCTTATTTATGTAGCCCCCCCCCCCTTTTTGGTGCTTTCATTGTTTTTCCCGTGTGCTCTTCAATTAGTAGTAAATATTGTAATAAATTATATTTGCATATTTCTTAAGTTATAGCATGTTTTGCTTTTTAGCTGTTTGCATTTAACTTGAATTATCTACCTTTTTATCAAAAGGTAATAAAAAGTACTTGGATACAACTTGTCTTGCCATTGTCAATTTTTTTCAGTTTTTACTCAATTTTATCAAACATTAAAATTTATTACACAATTAACTACCAACATTAACATTAACTACCAACTGTTCATGATAATCATAAAATTTAGAAAAAATTGACAATGGCAACACAAGTTGTATGCAAAGGCACTTTTATTACCTTACGATAAAATTTGGGCTTTCCAGGTAGGTAATTAAAGTAAAATGCAAAGATCTATAAAGCAAAACATGCTATAATTTAAGAAATATGCAAATATATTATATATATTAAAAAAATTGTTTAGAATACATTTTTCATATGGGGTTTCCATAATAATTATTAATAATAATCCCCTATTGACAGTTCCATATTCGAGAGAATTGGGATAGAATAATATATCTAATATTAATGTATTCACCATAATATGTACTCACCACAATACACCAAAACACTTTTACTTTTACACTAGACGCGCGTTTCGCTAACCATGTTAGCATCATCAGCAGATGATTATAAACTAAAGTACAATCTACAAGTTGAGCGTTTATATACTCGCTCAGTGGGCACCGAGTGGGCGTGGCAAAATCTAGCCAACCGAGTCAAAGCCAACTGAGCGTAACAGTTAGATTTCCGCCACTAGAGTAGTAGGAACAAAGAACTTGAAGGAATTGGACCGTTGACTCTGTTCATACTATCTTTACATTTATAAAACTTAGCACTATACACAAGTTTATAATTGACATTCTTAAAAATTCCTTTTAGACCACGGGATAACTCTCTATCAAACCTTATCGAAAAATATTTAGACGTATCTTTCTCCACTTGAAAAGTCGAATTTTCAGAAATCATTAACCTATACTTACGTTTTCTAATTAATTTATCAACTAGTGAAGGAGAATATCCATTACACTCAGCTATATTCCTAATGTAATCTCTTTCTATTTCATATCTTTCGTTGGAAAGTGGGAAACTAAGTAATCTATGAACTAAGAAATTTAAACTAGCCATTTTATGTTCAACACTATGATGTGATTCATTAGGAATATATCTGCGTGTGGTTAAAAACACTTACTGATTCTGAACCGTCCTAGAACTGTGATACGCATGCGCAGAAGGAAATACGGAGAAATTATTTCATTAGCGCATGCGCGGCAAAGTTCTAGGACAGTTCAGAATCGGTAATAATAAAAACCCGAACAAAGCTAAAAACTGACAACTGAACGGAAACCTGAACTGACCGTCTAAAAGTACCCTAATAGAATATTTAGAGAAAAAAATATAAAAAAATTAAAAAATAACATAATATTTACCAATTACGAACTCCTTCTACTCCCGACTCTTTGGCTGTAGTTGTTACCTCAATGCAGTTAAGCAGCTCATGTTCTGTTTCAGAGGCCGTTTCGGTAGTTTCAGTTGCAGAAGAATTATCTTCATTGTTTAAATCAAGTGACGAAGGAGATCTGAGGTATAAAATATAATATGAAGTATACGAAAATAATATTTGCATAATAATTATATTTAATAAATATCGTTCATTTTACAAAGTTTGCAAAACTTACATAGTAGCTGATGGTGCAACTGGTTCTTCAATAAGAGGAGACACTTCTTGTATATTTGCCACTCTAAAAATTAAGAGATCGTTGCTAAGTAGTGGTAATTTTTTTTTACTCTACAGAGTGAGGCATAAGGCATTGTCAATACTTCAGTTACGTATTCATTATTTTAATATTTTTTAAAAATGTATACAGGGTGTTTCATAAAATATGACCATTGAGTACCTAATCACGATTCTACTTAAACTGCTTGACGTTTAAAACTGATTTTTGGCAAACGGATTGACTATGGGGTATAGAGGTTCGATAAGGAGGGGTTTCTCGAATCTCAAGAGGGTGAAATCGCCCCTCAAATATTACAATATTATTTGTTATTTAAAAAACGGTTAGTCTTTCGGGAAAACGCTTGGACACGCATAATTTATTTTGTTTTTTAACATATTTTAATTTTTTTAAAAAAATCATACAGGGTGTTCAACACAACCACGATTCTGCTTAAAGTGCTTGACGTAAAAAGCTTATTTTTGGCAAACGGAAAATTTTTTCCAAAGTCAAAGTCCAACGAGATGAAACTACCCCTCAAATATTACCAAGTTATATAATAATGTCGCCATATTGTTTTTTCTCATGCTGACATAAATGTGAGAAAATATTATCCAGTTCGTATGTTAATGGAAATTCTTGCTTTGCTTTATCATCACCATTACAAATGATCAATTCGACGCGAACGATGTCGCGGGTACACGCTAGTGTCCTACTATGAACTTTATTGCCTGCCTCTGCCCTGGTGAGTTTTTCCACCATTCTAGAGATTTGTTGGCCACCCATCGTTTCGTGGCCATTCCCGAGACTGATGTGAAAAAGTAAGTTAAAAGTATCTATATTTAAAAAGTAATTTTAAAATTTATAGATTTTACAATGGACTTTTGTACAATTTTTTAGTTTATAGTTTTTAAGATGGATGTTTTTTTATAGATTTTGTTAAAAACATAGAAATATTAATTTAAGGCGAAAAATCTCAAAAACAAAGGTAAAGTCCCACATTTATATATACTTTATCTGAAGTATTGACAAATTATCATGAATCGCCCTGTTTTGGAAAAAATCGAAATAAAAATGAAACTTCTACACCCTGTATCTTCGAAACTAAGGATTTTTGGACATATATTTATACGAACTTTTTTATTTATTTTTATCTGCAGAATATGCTGCCGAAATTTCCGGAATACAGTTCGAACCACCCTGTATATTAAGGCTTCATGGTTTTATTGAAATAATTATTTTTTTAGTATTGTTAGCTATTTTTCAGCTTAAAAAAATTAAAAGGAGACATTTTATGTTTTATTTAATATACCTATACCATAATGTTACTTCTTTACATTAAAATATAAAATATTCACCTCTTATGAGCCCTGTGTGTGTCTATTTTAAACCTTTGGTTAATATTGTTTACCCCAAAGTATTTATTTAGTTCTTGTTCAGATTCAGAGACTGAATCAGATATTGAGGAATCATCTTCTTTGTCTGAATACGGAGAGTCTGATAAAGGAGATCTGAAAAAATAATTATATACTATCAATCATAATTATATAAATTAATATACGACAATAAATATTATTTCTCCGGAGAATAAATTCAAACTTACATATCACAGCCTGATGGTGCAGCAACTGGCATTTCAATAGAAGTACCTACTTCAGATATACTTTCCAAGCTAAAAATTATAAGAAAATGGTTAAATATATTTTAAAAACAATCAAAAATATGGTTATAATATAAAGGTGGATTCTGACGACTCGTGTACTTGGCAAGTACGCCAATATTTGCGTACTTGGCAAGTATACACTATCTTTATAAACAACATTTTTGTGCAACAAGCTACATGGAAATCACTCACACCACATGGCAAGTATATCCCCATAACAAATGTTTATACAAGTACACGAGTCGTCAGAGTCCGCCTTAAGAAAAATGGTTGGGGATTTTTCATGTACAATTAAGTATAAAGCGGATTCTGACGACTCGTATACTTGGCAAGTACGCCAATATTTATGTACTTGCCAAGTACGCAAATATTAGTAATCTATGTTTTTCTTTTACGACATATCTATGACTTGGTGTGATCAACTACATTTGACAAGTTTCTGACCGGTTTGGATGCTTGTGAGAACAAACCCATCATCTTTGATTGTATTTAATTATGTAAAGGCGGATTCTGACGATTCGTGTACTTGGCAAGTACGCCAATATTATTGGCGTACTTGGCAAGTATACTATCTTTAGAAACAACATTTTTTTGCAACAAGCTTGGCGCTCACACAGCGCGACGAGTGACAAATAATTGCACAAGTAAACCATTCACACGACATGGCAAGTATTTGCCAATAACAAATGTTTGCATAAGTACACGAGTTGTCAGAGTCCGCCTTAAGACAATGGCTGGTTTGTCTCGAATGAAATATTAAGGCGGACTCTGACAACTTTTGTACATGTACAAACATTTGTTATTGGTATATACTTGCCATACCAGTTTTCTGATGCTATGGAAACGAACCTAATGTGGCATACTTACGATTTTGGATAAACTCTAGGAGGCGTACTGGTACTTGAACAATCTGAACTAAAAATATAGTATTCATATTAGTACTTAGACCGTAACAGTATCAATAAAACTTAATCATCAATATTTAATCTATATAAACAAAATCTATATACAAAACTAATCACTTTTTTTTATTAAACTTTACTGTGCAGCAATATTCTTATTGAATATTTTATTAGAGACGTTAAATAATTCTAATTAAGTATGCAAATATTAGTAATGACATGGCAAGTATATGCCAATAACAAATGTTTGTAAAGTACACGAGTCGTCAGAGTCCGCCTTAAGACAATGACTGGCTTATCTCGAATGAAATATTAAGGCCGACTCTGACGACTTGTGTACAGGGTGGGTCAAATTCGACGCTTTTAAATGGAAACACCCTTTTCTATAGGAGATAGACGAAAACTAATATATATATTTTCATCAAAAACATGATGGTGAAAACTGCACATCAATATGTGTTACCGTTACGGGGTGTTTTTCAAAAATGTGCATTTTTAACAAATCACTGTAACTTTTTTGCTATGGAAAATTTTGTATTTCTATGAAAACATTTCCAAAGCACCATTTTACGTAGAATTTAATGGTTTAAGTATAATTTTTTTAAAATTAATAATTTAAGAGTTATCAACAGAATAATTGATTTTTTATTTGGGACACCCTCTATATTTTTAATTAACTGAAAAGAATTTAAAATTACCTTTCCAAAAATATAGCATATTTGATATTTTGTTATAATCCCCTTCGAAATACAGAATTTTTAAAAGTTCGCCACTTTTAACTAGTAGGCTTTGGACCCCATATTGATGATATGCCCTTAATGGAACTCGAAAACATATTTTTCCAGCAAGACGACACACCGCCTCTGAACGCTGAAGTTATCAGCAAATTTCAAAAATAATTGAATAGCTAACCAAGATCCCAGCCGTTGGCCGCCGAGGCCGCCTGACTTAGTGCCCATGGATCTAATCCTATGGATATATTTGCGGAAGAATAAAGGTTCCTTATTCTTCCGTATAATCTAGACAAGAATTAGAAATACTTAACAGTTATGAGAGGGTATCTTTCACCACCACTGAGTTAATGAATTCCGCGAAAAATGTTCAAAAACTGCCCCGTCTGTCCATAACAGAAGACGGTCGATATGTCTAACACTTGTAGCAAAATCTCATGTCTTGGTTTGCTATTTATTTTTATTGTTATTAGATATAGTTTAAATATGTTGATGTTGGTTAAATATATCTTAAATTGTTATAAAATTCTGCATCTCTCATAGCAAATATTATTTTCGTTTTAATTAATGCTCACAGATAGATTTTTTATGCATTACAGCCGGTGCCGTTCAATATTTAAAGCCAGGCGAATTTTTATATACTCTATATCTCGAAGAGGAATCGAGCAAAATATCAAGTGTGTTATATTTTTGGTAAGGTAATTTTAAATTATTTTCAATAAATTAAAAATATACAGGGTGTCCCATATAAAAATCAAATTTTCTGTTAATAATTCTTAAATTATTAATTTTAAAAAAATTATACTTAAACCATTAAATTCTACGTAAAAAGGTGCTTTGGAAATGTTTTCATAAAAATATAAAATTTTTGAACACCCGTAACTCCGAAACGGAAACAGATATCGATATGCGGTTTTCACCATCATGTTTTTGACAAAAATTGAGTTCCAGGCACCGATATTAGTTTTTGTCTATCTCCTATAGAAAAGGGTGTTTCCATTTAAAAGCGTCGAATTTGACCCACTCGGTACATGTACAAACATTTTTTATTGGCATATAGGGTGGCAACTACGAGAGATACGAATTCAGTTAAATGGGATAAAAGTTGCGTAATTAGATGTTTGACAAACACCTAGGAAGAAAACCCCGGTATCTTGATTCGTTTAGGATTAATATAAAAAAAAAATGAAAATAATACGTTTATATTAAATAACAATATCTTCAGAACTAGGTATTGTATCTATTGGAACGTAAGTTGGTACTTTTTATATATTTTTTTTATATTTGACCTCGGCCAATTAAATGCTGTTTTCAGAAAATTTCTAAGCCTTCTAGATTTCGCACAACAGCAGTCAAGTTTTTGTTTTCTTATGGCCGTGATTTTGAATTTTTATACTATTAGATAGAGCAAAAAATAATCTATACGGTGGTATCTAATTTTTATTCATTATTATATAAATTTACAAAAAAATAAAAGATTTTTTAAAAATTCGCTCAGAAGATCAAGTCTGCCTTGAAAGTCCAATTGACACTTTATATGACAGCAAGTTAATTTTTGGTTTGGTTTGGTTTGGAGTGAGAAAAGACGAGAATGTATGATGTTTGCTTAAAAATAATAGAAATTTCGATATGGCATGCGTAAGTTATAGAACATTAGCTTAATTCGGGTTTCTCTTATTACCGATTCTGAACCGTCCTAGAACTGTGATGCGTATGCGCAGAAGGAAATATGAAGACATTATTTCATTTGCGCATGCGCTACAGAGTTCTAGGACGGTTCAGAATCGGTAATAACAAGAACCCGAACAAAGCTATTGTATCCTGAAATGACGCAGCCTCATCGTACTATTTTCGCAAGGATTTCAAGAAATTTAGCAGTTGCTGGTAGCTTTAAGAAACAAGAAGACAATATTTTAAAAGGCTTAATGATTTTAATGTGCCAGCTCAGATTGAAATAAATCCGGAAACTTCTAGTAGTCAAGTAAAATAACTCGCGAGTGTTGTATAAGTGATTCTTATATGGGGAAAATTATCAAAAAACATAAATATCACAACTTTAAATTTAAATGTATTCCAAATTTACATTTTTTTACATGCTGGTGATCACGAGAAAAGATTACAATTTTGCAAATGGTTTCGGAAAAGTGTTCAAGAGCCCCCTTTTTTCTAGAAAAATATTATGGACGGATGAATCTTTATTTACAAATACTGGTACATTTAACAGAAAAATATCACATTATTATGCAAAAGAAAATAGGTTTTTATTATTTTTAGAGGTTTTAATTATTTTAGACATTTAATTAGAGAAACCAGACCACAGTAATATATTCATTGAACGTCAGGGCTGGTAATCTTGACAATAAAATAATTGTAGGTTCTGTATTGATCTGTATTGAACTCTACTATACAATTTTTATGTGTCCAGATTTGACACTTAATAGAATAAACAAAAAATAATTTGCTGATATATAAAGTGTCAATTGGATTTCCAAGGCAGACTTGATCGTCGGCGAATTTAAAAAAATCATTTTTTTTTGTGAATTTACATAATAATGATTAAAAATTAGATACCAACGTATAGACTTTTTTTTCGCTCTAACAGTAAAAAAAAATCAAAATGGCGGCCATCGAAAAACAAAAACTTGACTGTTGAATTTAGAAGGCTTAAAATCTTTTTCTGAAAACGGCCACTAATTGGCCGATGTCAAAAATATAAAACTACCAACTTACGTTGCAATAGATACAATACAGTACGTCTGTCCGTTCTGTGGCTACGGGGTATCCGTGAGAGGGGAAACGACATTATCTCGATGGTTTTCCTAAAAAATTAGACGACGCGTCCCATCAATAAAAATTCGACAAATTTGCACGTAGCCAATAAAATAAGTGGGCGGAGCGATTTTCGGTGACGTACTCAAGTCGACGTATAAAATATGTTGCTGTTTATTTAAATGTTTTTTGTCCGCATTCCTTTCATAGACACAGATCCAGCAGACGAACTGTAGTTGTGAAGTTATTGTCATTTAAAATAAAGGTATTATTTTCATTTTTTTGACATAAATCCGACACTAATCAAGATACCGGGGTTTTCTTCATAGGTGTTTGTCAAACTTCTAATTACGCAACTTTTGTCCCATTTAACCGAATTCGCCGTATCTCTCGTAGTTTCTGAGATGCCAATGTTGAGCATCGATATTGTCACCACCCTGTACACTTGCCTTACCAGTGTTCTGATGCTGTAGAAACGAACCTAATGTGGCATACTTACGATTCTCGGTAAACACTAGGAGGGGTACTGGTTCTTGAAGAATCTGGACTAAAAATATAGTATTCATGAGTACTTAGACCGTAACAGTATCAATAAAACTTAATTATCAATATTCAAACTATATAACTTAATCCTCAATATCAATAACAAGTTAGTCTGTATCAATATTCAAATCAATATTACAGATATTTTATTTGAGCCACTCGCTTTTTTTTATTAAACTTTACTGTGCAGCAATATTCTTATTGAATATTTTATTAGAGACGCTAAATAATTCTAATTAAGTACGCAAATATTAGCAATCGAATATTAGTAATCTATCTTTTTCTTTTACAACATATTTATGACTTGGTTTGATCAACTACATTTGAGAAGTTTCTGACCGGTTTGGATGCTTGTGAGAATAAACTCATCATTTTTGATTGTATTTAATCATATAAAGGCGGATTGTGATGACTCGTATACTTGGCAAGTACGCCAATATTATTTGCGTACTTGGCAAGTATACTATCTTTGGAAACAACATTTTTTTGCAACAAGCTTGGCGCTCACACAGCGCGACAAGTGGCAAATGATTGCACAGGTAAACCATTCACACGACATGGCAAGTATATGTCAATAACAAATGTTTGCATAAGTACACGAGTTGTCAGAGTACGCCTTAAGACAATGACTGGTTTGTCTCGAATGAAATATTAAGGCGGACTCTGACGTTATTGTTATTGGTATATACTTGCCATACCAGTAGTTTTCTGATGCTGTGGAAACGAACCTAATGTGGCATACTTACGATTTTGGATAAACTCTAGGAGGGGTACTGGTACTTGAACAATCTGAACTAAAAATATAGTATTCATATTAGTACTTAGACCGTAACAGTATCAATAAAACTTAATCATCAATATTTAAACTATATAACTTAATCCTCAATATCAATAACAAGTTAGTCTGTGTCAGTATACAAATCAATATTACAGAGATTTTATTTGAACTACTCACTTTTTTTATTGAACTTCACTGTGTAGCAATATTCTTATTGAATATTTTATTAGATACGCTATATAATTCTAATAATTATAAATAATATTTTCCTGCCTTTAGCTGTGTATTTTTTTCTAATTTCGAAAAAAATAAAAAGTAAAAAGAAAATTGTTTTGCTTGTCGTAAAGGGGGTAACCGTGGAACCAAGCTCCACTCCCACAACCGGTTTCTGGGCCTACCCTTCATCAGGTTGGCTGTCCAGGGGCTGGTTTTCACCTTAGACTAAAACTTCTAGACGGAGCAAGTCATTCATAAATCTACTACAACCATGTTCGGCTTACCCTGCTTAGAATGGAATCATGGAGGTTAAAATATCAATGAAAAGCCTTGAGTGTGGATAAGAACTTGGGACAGCAAATTTGGCGCGGTGATACTGGCCGGACTAATCCAATGGCGTACTAGTTTTCGCAATTTCCGAAATATAAATTTAATTAAATTAATATAAAATTAGAATCGATCTTTAAAAAATTGTGTTTGCTAGTATCTTAGAGTATTTAGTCTAAGGCTAGTATAAATCTCAATACTATCTTATTTTTATTTTGATTTACAATTAAACAAGACGCCTTAAATTTAAAAGCATAGCATTTTAAAATGTCTTTATTTTATTAATTACCGATTTTTTTTTTCAAATTACTACCATATTAGTTATAATTTTCAAGCTATGTATAAAACCCCGATTTAAATATTAATTTAATTTTAATGCATTATATTTACTAACATGTGCGTTTTCATATTTAATGCTTTATAAAATATTTTTTCATTATTTTATAATCCTAAAACTTTGAATCCAAATTAAAAATAAATTTAAATATCTTTTATGCAGAATTTAAATCATGTTCAATGAATCTTGATTAGCATATACCTGGTGTTTTTCAGAAGCGGTTCAGTTCACTCCTATAACTTTTTGATTTTTCCAAATAAAAAAAAAATAAATTTTGTATGTTAGTAAATGACATAAACCGGGATTGATTGTTTTCAATTACTTTACTACTTCCTGTTTCACGGGAAATGACTAAAACTTTTGAATTTTAAATGGTGCCCTAGGAAATTTTTTTCACTTTATTTGATAAAAAATTACATTATGACCATGGAATTCTTAACTGAAATGTAAAATGCAATATTTTTTTTAGTTAAAATGTGAAATGTTGACGTATACCGTATGATCGAATAAAAACGGCGTCCAGTTGGCTTGGAAAAGACGATCGATGACATTTCCCATATAAATTTATATGTGTAAAATGACAGCGATCTTCATTTCATAGCCATCGCTGACGCCGTTTTTATTCGATCATACGGTATTATGGCATTCTATTCAGAATGCTATTTCCTATGAAATAAAGTAAAAAATACCGATGGTACCATTTAAAAGTCAAAAGTTAGTAGTATTTTTAGTGAACGTCTGTCTTAAATTTTAAACTGTAAGTGTATTAAAAATATTTTTTATTAATTGTGTGTACATGAACAAATGCATATTATTACTTGATTCCAGCCTAAATAGTAATGTAAAAATCTGTTTCAATGACAAAAATTAAGAATTCAAATTTCCAACAAAAAAAATAAATAAATGACTTTTTTTAACTAGACAGTATATTTTATTTTTAAAAACAAGTTTTGAGAATTTATCTCATCAGCTCAGGTTGATAAAAAGGAATAAACTATATAATTTTTTCAAAAAAAAAACAATGAACACTTCTATGAATATATTTTATTTATTTTAATATTTTTTTTATAAATTAGACATACATTTCAATAAATTATTATAAATTTAATTGTATCCTATACCGGGTGCGTCTCACTTAACCATTTTAAAATAAGCAAAAACTTTTAGGAAAATTTCATTTTCTCAAAATCAGGGTTGACATGATTTAAATCAAATGATTTAAATCATGATTTATATCGTGATTTAAATCAAGGGATTTTTTTAATTTTAATCATGCGATTTAAATCAAAACAAAATTTTTTATTGAAACTTTATTATAAATTAAAAGATAACCGTAAAAGTTACAAAAATGTGTCCTAGACAACTATAGAACATATTTCTATAACGGGTATAACAGATAATAAATCGAAAAATAAATGTTATAAAACTATAGAAAAAATATCTATTCGTCAATTTAATTCTTTAACCGATTTTTGAAGTAATTTCGTGTGAATCCATTAGACCGCTAAACACAGGGATTTATTTTAAAATTTATGTATAAGTGACAAAAATTCGCTGTTCGAATACATGTCATTCGCATATTCGCAGTCTAGTACAGAACTAGGTTCTTCTAATATAGAGACTATATCTTCATTCCCGAGAATCTATAATCGTTGTCAGAAAATATGTTGTTTTATATTCTTTTTTGAAACGGTTGTATGTTTACAAATTCCTACCGATATTTTGATCTGCAGTAAGTACTTTACACTTTGACATTAGATTTACAATACATAGGTACTAATTTCTTCTCTACTTAAGTATATTTCGGAACAATAGTGTATTGTTTTATTAGGAGTAAAAATTTCACTTTTTTAACGATATGCTGTACAAAAAATTCATTTTTACTCGGAATACAACATACTATTTTTTATAAACATTACAAATAATTTTTTAATCAATTTCAAACATTACAAATAATATAAACAGTAATGGAGCAACAATTTTGATTTGATTGTTGTTAAAAGCACCCCTACTTCTAATGGCACCAAAAAATAGTTCGAGGTGGTCTTGTGAAAGCCTGTAAGTATAGAGGTGGCTTAAATTTTTTTTCCCTAATATATAAATTATATAAGCCTTTTACGCTTTCAATATTGATTAAGAAGCCTATAAATCCTGTTTTTCTTCCACTCTGCAATACCGATTTATTATTAATTTTCAGGCCTAATATATAGGATTTCTCTTGGTCTAAAAATGCGAAAACGCCATTTTCGGTAGCTGAGGACAAAGGTCTTTTAAAAACGCATCGGCTAAATTGGCTTTTTATTGTTGTGTTTAAAAAAGTGCACTGTTCATAAAAGTTTTTACTTGTTCTAAAATGGGCAATCCCGTTTATACTTTTCCAAATTTTAATACTGTTTTAGAGAAAAACGGAAAAATATGAAAATATAGTTGATTTCCTTCTCAAGTCCCAAAAATCAAAAGGCTGATGAAATGATAATTTCATTTTTAGGTTTTTATTCTTTGATAGATGATTATATAGTTATTTTAATTAGCGTCATATTTTTGGCTGCTTTAAAATATTAAAGAAGCACAACATTAAATTTATTAATCACCTTTTCTGTAGAATTGAACTAAATAAATTTTAGACTTTTTTAACATATCATAATTAATTAACGAGCAAAAATATAACATTAATCAAAATTAATAGTATCCATCTATCCATATCGTTTATCAAGGGATGAAAACCTAAAGACGATATTACCATAGAAACGCGCTTTGATTTTTTGGACTTTCTTTAGGAAAAATCCAATTATATTTTCATATTTTTTTTAATATTCTGTAAAACGCTATGGAAATTTGGAAAAGTAAAAACGAGACTAACCATTTTAGAACAAGCAAAAAATTTTATAAAGAATGCACTTTTCCCAAAAAGTCAATAAAAAAAAGTTTTTCCCCTTGTCAAGCCCTCAGGTCAAGACCATCCGGGAACATACTGTAAAGAAATTTACTATTAAATTATAAAAAAATATTATTATATTAAAAAATACCAATGATATATGTATAAAAAAATTATCTCTTAAAATAACAATGATATACAGTCTTAAATAAGTGCAACTATTTTGCACTTTATAGGTATTAGAGAGGCTATTCCTACACTATCAATTTTCTTTGTCAAAGAGTTTATTTAAAATATTCTATAAAGAATGTGTCAGTGTGATTTTATAAAATATTGTATATTAACACTGTCAAATTTTTATTAAAATATTTTTATAAAAGATCTTAGACAAAGAAATTTGATAATGTAAGAGCAGCCTTAGCCAAAAAAATATTATATGATACCTAGTATGTGTATATTATTTATTTATACAGGGTTGTTCACCACATACGACACGGAGTATTATAGCTAAACGATTAGATTTTTACAAATTGTAAGTTTTGAGTTCGTTGAAGGACTATTAGAGCTACAATTTAAAAATATTTTTACAAGATACAGAGTGTCCCAAATAAGTAAAAAATATCAAAGTTGTATTTTTTTAAATGAAACACCCTGTATATTATTACATTTTTAGTTTCTGCGATTAAAATAAAGGTAAATTTGATTAACGTTTATCACACTTAAACCTTACCGTTTTTGAAATATTTTCAATTTTGAAAAATTTTAAGGCTTCATTTCTCCAAGGGTATCAAAGTTTTTAATACTAAATATTTACTGAAGTTTAATTATTGATCAGTTATTAGGTTTGTTCTCACAGCTGTAAGAAACATATTTCCAACAGATAATCATGCGCAATAGGGTAAAACGCGTTCGTACAGAAATTTTTGATTGGTTTCCAACCAACAGTACGCTGTTCGCACAGAAAATTCTGATTGTTAGCTGACAGTCAGACCTGTTCGCGGATCTTTTGCAAGTAAAGTGTCCGGCGCATGCGTATTGCGACCCGACGTCATTAATTGGTAAACTTAACCTACAAAACAGGTGGATGACACTTCTTATGGGAGAACTGGCAATGATTGAAAACTTGACTACAAGCGATTTTCTAGGAATCTTCCTTACCGATAAATTATTGACAAGAGTGACAGATAAAGCCTTGACGTTCTTTCAGTATTCCAGTTCATTTCTTTTTCTTTCTAAAGTGTGCGTTGAAAGGAGACAAAAA